GAGTTTTGCCGAGAATGTCGTTGTGACAAAAACAAGTTATCAAACGGTAGAAGCTAAGTTTTATTATTTTCGGTCGGGAGAGGGCTTAAATTCCTTCAATGAGTAACAGTGCTAACTTTTCTGGTGAATCAAAAGTACAATGGAGTTTTCCTGGTGTCTATTTTTCTTTTTGAGGAGAGCGAAAGTCGTACTCCTAGTAGTTCTCGTCCTCGAATCTAAAGGTCTCTTTTAACCAAGCGTGAGGTCCAGATAGCTGAATATTGGCAAGGTTCGTTTTGTTTTGTTTTGTTTTTTGCGTTTTTATATATGGAACAATCACTACTGTATTAATTTCGCACCTCCCCCTAGAAGACAAGGTTAAAAACTTGACTCGTGATAAAATAATCTCCTATTAAAATAATCATTATATTCCCTTCCCTCCGACACTAGAACTTTGTAAAACGTTCGTTTCGACTAGTGATTAATCAGATATTTATGTTTAAACAACGTGATGTGAATTGACTATAAAAAAACCGCTGCCCCTGCAAATATTTCACATCTAAAAACTGTTTTATCTCACTCTGCATTAAAGCTATGGTAAAACGGACAACAAAAACGTGAAACCTGTTTTGCAAAATTGTTAGGAAACTAGTTGAAGAGTGATGTTGCGCATTTTACTACCCACGATTGAAACCTCCCCTTGCAGCAAATCAGCAAGTTGCGAAAAAGTTGTTGCAGAAACTAGAGAGAAGTTCTACCTTTTGCATCAAAATCTGTCAATGTTGCGCGTTTTAATTACCGACCCAAGGCAAACTTGTTTTGCAGCAAGTGACGTAACTCCTGAGTATGGCGTGACTCCCGCGTAATTTTATCCAGTCAGGAGTCAGTATTTACGCAACTTGCAACAGTGAATCTTATTTGCTACAAGGTTTGATTTGTGGGCAATAAAGCGCGCAGCATCGCTTTTGGACTCGTTCTGCAGCAATTTGTTGCCCGTTTAACTGTTCCTTTAGCCTCGTTATTAAAGCGAGAGTTTTTGGAACTTGGAAATGGGCTATTATAGCCTGTGATCATGCCCTCCCTATAAAAAAAACCGCCTGATCGCGGGTTAAGATAATTAAAAGACGATGAATCATAAGAAACTATTGTTTTACATTATTTCATTGTTTCTGTTTTGGGGTTTTTGATCGTGGTTTGTATTTTTAAATTCTCTTTCAGTTTTGTGGTTCAGTTTTGTATTTTTTTGTACGTGTTTCCGCTTTGGGATGTTTATTTCTGTTTTGGGATTTGTATTTCTGTTTTCTGGTTGTGTTTTTCCGTTTTGAGTTTGCTGTATCCTGTTTTTGCATTGACGGCACTCTAAGAAAAGAGAAACAGTCCTTGCATTGTGTTTTCGTTTATTATTTGTAGCAAGTGGAGCAATAAATTACCGTGCAAGGATTGGCTTCCACTTTTATGCTTGGTGCACTGAGAATAGCACCCGCAAAGAAATAAGGTCTTTCCATAACACTGAGAACAGCTATTGTACCACCCTAAAAAGAATAATGCATAAGTTAATAACATCATAACATGAAATTTTTAAGGGCAGTCAAACCTCCCGTACGCGACCACTGTAAAGGCTAAGACTTGGTGGTCACTTACAGAAGGAGGTCGCTTACGACACTTCCTTGGAGTAGATTTCCGGGCACATCTAGTAAAGCAGAAAATTTACTGCACCGATTTCTTTCTCAGTTTAATACATGTTGTTACTTAAGTTCTTCGTATACTCCTAGTAGCTTACAGCGAACATAAGAGTTCAGACAAATGGTTAAGGGGTCGCTTTTTAGGAGGTTAAAAACAATGGGAAATCTCTCTAACGCGGTCGCTTAAGGCTGGTGATCTTTTACGAGAGGTGGTTGTTTACGAGAGGTGGTCGCATATGGAGGTTCGACTGTATCAGTGTTTTCGTAATATGTGATTTAAGTGCATTGAAGCCAGACTTGAAAAGAGTTAAAAATAATTCACAGGCTATCTATGTTATCAAAACAAACCGGCAAGAGCGCGACATTAAGAACCAACCGCAAAGCATGATGGGCTTGGCGTCTTTATCGTAATCAGGCCTTCCTGATCGTAATTAACATATACTTGTATTCCTGTGATCGACGCGGTTAGGGGACTAGACTGCAAAACAGTCGGTTTTTTTCTCAAAATCAGTAACGAAATCGGTAAAGCGTGGCGTAGGAGTCTTACACGCGCGAAGCGCGCGAGCCTCACACGGGACCCGAGAACCTACCATCTATGCCTTCAAAAAAAATACAAAACAACAACAAACAAACAAACAAACAAAACGAAAAAAGGGGCAGAGTTCCAATAACGTTTTTATAACAGTACATACCATTGAGTGGCCAAACATAAATATTGGTATGCCTGTGTTGTCTGCTGTGACTTGGTCAATGTGTTTAAAAACATCTTTGACGTAAAAGGAAAAATCTGATATTTGGGCTCTTTCTCCTTCACTCTGACCATGACCAACTAATAGAAAGATTTATTGTCTAATAGAATCACTATTTCCTACATACATACATACATACATAAACTTTATTTATCCTCGATTTATTGTCAAAAATAAGCTTTTGAAGGTTTATATCACACTATTTCCTGTCTTTTTTGTACTTTGTATTCACCAGGTCTGCCCATCATGCATCATAAACTGAATTCAAATTGAGATTGAAAATGCAAAAAACTGGCATTGTTCAAGCAGATTTGAGTGGTCCCCCCTCTGAATGGTCCAGTTTTCTCCTAAAAATCAAGTGATCCCCCCAAAATCTATCTTTATCCCTCCATGACATTTTACGGGCCACCTTCCTTGACAAATCCATTGATATAACCGCCACGATCTCTTTATTGTCTAGACTGCGCCTCCAGTCCTCAGTCAGCCTAGCTCATAATTGTTTTTTTTAGTTCAAAATAAAGGTTCTTCAATACACGTATTTTTTTTAGTTTTAGATTACCACCACCTGCCCATAACATCATAAATTGAATTCAAAAACCCCGATTCTTCTTTATCCTGAGAAAGTATGATTAGATACAGTCATGGTTCTTGGATGCAGTTACTGTATCACGGAAGAGATTGAACAAGAGACGGGGTGGGACATACCGTGATCTTGACTAAAGGCGAGGTAGCCTTGTTCAGCTAAAGCATTTCCAAGCCTCTCGTAACGTGAACAATGCTCTCCATATCCATGGCAGATAAAGACCAATGCTCTATCGAGGAAATAACCACGAAAATCTGTTGTTATTTGTGTTATCAATGATCAAGAGACTTTCAATTTTGTGCTATAAATCATTTAGAATCCTTCCGAGCACAGCAAATGAGTAATTAACTGCATGATGTATTACAATTAATTTCTTTTAATACGAAGGTTTAGTTTATTTTCTTCAATTTTTGTATTCTTCGGATGGCCATATTTTTGCCCACCACCTTCCGACTAACTGATTTCGCTATGAATAGATAGCTACTATCATTCAGATTTTTTGTCAGCTATTGTACCGATCCTCAGAGATGGAAACCAGGGCCCGGCTTGGCTCAACGTGTAATTTTAAAGCGTTTCGACTTATAAACACTCTAGCAAAAAGTCAACAGGCCTACTCTGGAACCTTAACTCGCCGCGAGATTGTTCGAGCTTGCCTATCCGGTTGCGAGTTTGTGCGAGTTAAGGCGAGTCAACATTGGACATCTCGTGCATGCTTGGAATTTAATTTTCACTATTCGTTTAGATGACTTTTTTCAAGTTAACTTTGCTTTGCTCGTTTGATTTCATTCCCTCGCTCTGACTCCCATTAGCATAAACCTATCTATTATAATGACAATAAAAATAACTTGATTAATCATTTAGCCAGGTCGATGCACTTTTGACTGTAGCAAAGTAAAATACACTTCTTTTGGCGACAAAAAGAATTGTAAAGGTCGATTTTGCGCTAATTTCGCTGTTTTAGCAGTAATTTTTGAAGAGCGTGATTTGAACTTCAAGAAATAAACTACTGATAATAGACCTTGTCACGGTTTTCGACGCCATCTTGACGAGTAGGCAAACGTGTGAGAAATTACAGTGTTTGTATGAAATCTAATGTCGAATAATTTCCGTAAAACGGCTGTTCTGAAAAAAAAAGCAATTGTAAACTAAAGCTACCAAGCAAAGGATTGCACTGAAAAATTTTGGGGGAGTACCTGTGCTTAAATTTCTGGCTTGCTTTAGATTTTCCATATATTTGTCTGTAATTTTTCCAGGGACTTTCTTACAGACACTGTATAGAAAATTTTAAAAAGTGGTTCTAGGTCTTCTAGCGCATGTAACGCTCTTAATTTTTTCTGTAGAATCCTTAGGAGTGAAGCTTTAGTTTACAGTTGATATTTTTTTCAGAACATCTGTTCTACGAAAATTATTCGACATTAGATTCTCATACAAACACTGTAATTTCTCACGCATTTGCCTGCTCGTCAAGATGGCGTCGAAAACCGTGACAAGGTCTATGCTCACCTGGGTTTCTTGTGGCTTGGTTTCCAATATTTGGTAAAAATGTTCCTTCCATCTACGTTCTTGAACGATCCCTCTTCTGAAACGATTTGCATACTAATGCTTGAGTGTATTCTCAATAAATACACAACCAAAGAACGCGTTTAATTTAGAAGCAGCTGCAAACAGCTGTGCAAAAGATGGCGATATGCGCTCGATGAAGCGTATAAAAATATTGTCCTCAACAAAAACAAAGCATGTTATTGAAATGCAAAATGTAAATTTCGATGTTTGATCACCGAGAAACGCGTTGCACTGCTGCCACGCTTGGGTACGGAGCATTTGGCGGGAAAATTGTTTACGACCTTAGATGGGTGGGAGGGGAAACAATTTTCTTTCAATGGACTTGCGTATTTTTCAAACTAACTTACCGTTACAATCTAATTTGAACTTTAAATGGGTGGTTCTTTAAAGCTTTTAAAATCTTTTATCCATGATATTCTTATCGTTGGCACGATTATGTTGTAGTTTAATTTTATTTTCGGTCTAAATGTTATTTTCCTTTGTTTTCAACAATCCCAAAAACAAAGGAAATTGAAATTTAAGCCAAAATTTCAATTGCACCCAAACGTCTAGATTAGACAATTTTCTTGCAAACTGGCTCAATGTGGAGATCATTTAGTCGCCAGCCTTTTTCGATCATCCAAACCACACCAAATAGCCGGTGATTTTTTCAAATTTAAGCAGAGGAGAAAAGCGACCACTTTTAGCATTTTTACTTCCGTTTTAAGTATGTTTGTCTAAACAAATTTCAATAGAGATAAAGCCTTTGTTCCCTGGCTATAGTGGTTAACAAATCCGGGGGAGATCTAGGGGTGAGAATGCAGATAACGTCAAGTTTAAATGCCGCATTTGGAAGCACTAGATGATCCCTTGGAGGGTTCGAAAACACATCGTGAGAGGTATTTCCAAAATTCGTTTCTACCATTTCGTACATTTGCCAGCTAACTTCACTGAAACCAGTGTATATCGGTGCAACTGTCGCCCCCCACAGAAGATCACTGAAGGCCAAGCTACACACTATCAGCAATCCTGGACGAAGAGACCTGATGCCACTCCTCAACAAACCAATGATGACTATCACATTGGATACAAAACGCAAAATGCTCAGTAACAATGTGAGAAGGAAAAACCAATTGGCGTAATAGAGGAAGCTTCTCTGGAACGACACAGAGATCCCTGGAATACGTCTGGAATAAAACACGTCTGGTTTGTTGGGTTTTCTGCCATGTTTTGGAGTCACAGGAGCAGGGTGCTGTAATGGTAGCTGTAAAAAAGAATTTGAAGTTTGTGTAGATTGAATATGAAAATGAAAAAGATGACACGCTTGACACGTCCTCCATAAAACATGAAATTAGGAATTTTTACGTCGCGTCACGTCCTAGTCGTACAGGAAAGGAAAGAAATGTACACTGAAAAAAGCGTGATGCACATGCGGCGTTGTTGTTTTGCTCACTCAGGTGATGTTACGTACGCGATTCACCTGCTCCTTTGCACCCTCGCTAATGAGGTTGTGCCACTATAATCTATCTTGAGTCAGTTGCAAGTTCAAAGACCAGCCAAGTAATCATGAGATAAAAAGTGGTCATGTGAGAATAATATGGGTCGGATTTCAGTAAAGTTATTCTTAGTGACTGAAGTCCGTTTTCCGGGACGTCCGCGAATACTGATTTATGGCTGGCTCCTCTTGTTAATTGGGAAATGTTTTGTACTCACTACTGCCTCCGAAAGACATCAAATTTGGAAGTTCCACCTGCCGGTAGCCTGCGTAGCTGGCGGTATTCTGTAGTAGTCGAGTAAGATTTGGCGGCGAAGCCGTCTCGAAAGGCGTAAGCCGCGAGAAATAGAAATTCAAACGCCTCGTCCCCACTCCCTTTTTTTATCACAGCTCCGCCGCCAAAACGTTAATCGCGCACCGAGACAATACCGCCAGCTACGCAGGCTAACTTTGCCAGTACCCTTCTGTTCTCGCATTAACCCGCAGAAGATTTTGCCACTGCATGAGATGAGCAAAATAGTTTTAACGAGAACCTGTCAATTTCGTGAAATATATACCCTTTCATTAATCTCCGAGCATCCTTCATAATTTTCTCTGTCAAATGGAACGCAGCAGCAGTGGCGCTCGATTACGATCACTCCTTTTACAATTTCTCTCATGTCTCGAGCATGGATAAACAACACGCTGTGAAAGTAGTCAAAGTACTGAGGCAGTACTTCTTGTAGGCTCGATTACCGCGCGCTGTGCGGGAAATGAGTGCGCGCTTTTCTGTATTTCCAACGAAAAGGAGGAGAAAGAAAGGCACATTATTTGAACGGTCTGAAATTAGCTTTGAAGGAGGTGCAGGGACAAAAAGAGCGTTCTTCTATGCACGTCGAGAGAGAACCGGAGATCGAACCTACACGACTTGGTTTTCATAACAATATATTCCGCACAAGTAATTTAAGGTGCGCAAAAATGGGCAAGAAAAACATTTAACTTGTCTCGACTTGTCTTGCAACATTGCTGCAAAACGAGTTGTTGACTAGCAGTGTTGCGCGTTTTACCACCCACATCAAACCTGTCGTGCAACAAATCAGGTAGCCTGCAGTGCAGGCGTTTTCTTCGGGCGCGCGAATGTTTTGCTCGCGAAGAAACTCGAAAAGATGGGAGAAAATGGGGCGAGTCAAAAGGACTTAGCACTTACCCTTAGGGTTACTATTTTCACTCTCCCTAATAGAAACTCCTAATCTTCCTCTGTCATAACAAAGATGGCGGTTACAAAAGTACGAACACAAGCAGCTTTCGCCCGCCCAAAATACGCCTGCACTGCACGCTACAAATCAGGTTGTTAACAGGTTTGAACGAGGGTGGTAAAGCGTGCAACATCGCTATTCAACTCGTTTTGTAGCAATGTTGCAAAACAAGTTACATGCTTTTGTTGCCCGTTTTACAATGACAGGAAATTCTATAAGTACCGAAACTGGAATTTAAATTCATTTATGTCTGTCTGAAATAGAGCTGACCCCTCCTGTGCTGGAAACAAATCAAGCAAAATACTTTTGACAAAAAAGGGAAATAATAGACAAATAAAAAACGACTTATTTTTGAATACAAATATCAGTATAATGTTGGACTATGTCAGTAGTAGGTAACTGAATTTTTTCTCGTTTTGTCGGTAGTCAGTTATATTTTCACCATTTTTCGCCGGTCGGTTAACCCCATTCACACCCTCTTAAAATCATTTGACCATTCTAAAATGCCTTTAAAGTATTTTTGAATTGTCATTTGATTTCTACGCGGAAATAAAAAAAAATAACATTTATTATAACGTTAATTATAAACGTTCCAACGAGGCCGTGAATTCGTTCTTTTTTAAATTAAGATCTCGTAATTGTTGCTTCCTGCTAAACAGTTTAAAACAATTCAGTAATAAAACATGATGAAAAACCTTATTTTCGTTGATGAATACCGCTTTACCTTATATTTATGACTTCTTAGGCGTTATTCTAAATTTAAAAGAACTACAACTATGTCGGGGGGTTTTTTGCCGAGCCCGATTCAAGGAAAACTGACAAAGGTTAATAAAAATCCAGCAAAACGATTAGAAGCGGAGAAGAAAGAAAAAGTCTAAATGCGGTATATTCCTTATCGCACCGAGTCCATTTGATCCGTCCTTAACGTGTGGTTTTGAGATTTGGCACTTTATCGTTCCGTATAAATATTGCTTACTAAACAATAATTATCATTATAATAAACCAGTACAAAAGAACTAAATTGCATGTTAAATTAAAAGCTTTCGACTAAGTGAAGCCGAAACGAGCTAGAAAACAGGTGTGCTTGTCATGTTCAGTTTTCTGCCTTATTCAATAACGTTTTTTCTTTCCAGTTGTAGCGTAGAAAGTAGCTGCATAGAGTATGCATGTTTCAAGCGTACTGTGTTTTATGTCATATCTCATAATAACAAAGAATTGTACCTTTTTTGTAAAACGCAACAACTTTCTTCCAACTTAATAGTAACGAACGAGCATTTAGATACGTAAAAAAATAAGTAGGGTTTGTAAAATGGTATAACAGCATTGAGTGCACATACATATCTTTAGAAATGGCCTATATACTATATGCTTCTACGTACATTTCACTGAATTATTTCTGCCACTTGCCACTTGCCAATATTTTCGAACTAATAGCACATCGAAAGTCAGTTTGCTTTATCAGAGTTGAAAAGTTCAAGCTTTTTTAGGCAGAAGACTACTTCAGTTAAAACAACTAATAAAAGGGCTACCTGCGCCGCGGCTCTCAAATGGAATCCAAATCCAAAGGCGGAGTCCAAATCTAAAAACTGATTTCGTCAAATAAAGACAGCGCTTTTGAGACATGGTTTTCAATAAAAGAGAACCGCAGATACACGATCGAGGAAAACCCTTTTGCATTTTGCGCTCAATTGGGAAGTAGGAAAAATACGGATTTGCCCCGTTTTTCTCACACGAACATAACTTGAACACAACTACAACATTCTTACTTTAAATAGCAACAGAGTAGGAAAAATTAGCCTCTTCACCTTACTGCTGCATTTGACAGGGTCAGGATCAAGGAAGATTTTGGCAGAACCCGTTCTTTGTTTCATGTCGGAAAAGAACTCAGTCCGGCCATCTAGGCCTGCAATTTAATTTGACGCCTATTTTCGTGAGATCCAAAAGTAATTCATCTATCCATCTGCTTAACCACCAAGTTTATAATGACACTAAGCTGCCGAAGAATGAAGACTCATCAAATATGATCATCAGTCTTTCCTCCTTCGTTAACGATCGTTCATTATTTCGGAACTATTAGTAGGTAAGTAAATCATCCTCTATTATTGAGTCGTGTTTTTCCGGAATAACAACATTAATAACAATTTTCAGTATTCCCATCCGGATCTCGAAGGCAGCCTTGAGTCTTATTATCCCTTCTCATTTTATTCCGAGCCGGCCCCAAAACTACACTATTTTTTTTTAAATTTGTAGCCGGTATATTTATTTGCCAAGCTGACCAATTTTAATTTGATTTTTACACTTTGTTAGAGTGTTAATTAGAGGTGATAGCTAGGCTCTCTTATAGTTTAAGTTGTTTCATGATTCGACTTTATAATCACTTTGTTATTGATCGCGACATTTAATAGAAATAACAAAGAAAGGCAACATTATAAGTTAAATGAATTTATTCCTTTTTAGGATGATACGTAGGTTGTGCGTAGATGTTTTAAGGGCCTGTTTACATGGAGGTGGGGGACCCCACGTAGGTGGGGTATCCCTCCTGTCCATATACTCTCTCACTTTGATGACGTTTACATTTTACACGTTTACATTACCTCCCCTATCTGGGGTCCCCCACCTCCGTGTAAACAGGCCCTAATTTTCCCGAAAGCAATCGAACCTGTTCAAATGATGTGTTCAACTCCATAGAGCGTTTTACACATGGCCGGCCATAAGCTTAGCAATTCGGAACAAAGGAAAGTTTTTACATAGGAAAAAGGTTAACTCCCACAGGACTGGTTAAGAACAGCAACATGGCCGCCACGTTTCATTGTTTTGAAACACCAATTTGGCGGACGTGTCTTGTAAAAACGCCCTATACGTATACGTTTACATCTCTGGTATGTCACGGGGTCGGGCAAGGCGGCTCGTTTACTACGCGTGCGCTTGAGGTTGGATTTTTTCGGCTTCGCGGCTCATTTGCACGCGCCACCAGTTACGCCGGCTACAGCAGCCCAGGCTTGTGAGGGTTTGTATTTTTGCAGGACCGCGTAAGAGAATGTATGAGAGTGGGCTAAAAATCATTCCGATTGATATCAGTTTTGTATGGTGTTAATCGTTCAGTAATTCACGTTCTACATATCCCATAAACTTTCTGTTATTCGACGATCGATGTCAATCGTCGAAGTTACTGGATGAAAAACGTAAATCTTCCAAGTATGCCGGGAAGGGTTAGCGGCTTTATAAAAGCTTTGATTAGCTTAGGGGATTTATTGCCAGTCAGAAATGGACCAATATTTTGAGTGAATAGTGATTAACTCTTGCTAATAGAAGTTTTATAATAGTAATGTGATTTTAAAAGGTGTTGGAAACCAACAGCTGTTTGGATTTCGTGGACTTTTTATTGACTAGATTTCCTAAAATACCATTTCTTATCAAGAAAAAGCCGTTTCGCAAATTTGAATACAATTTCCTTTTTTTTTGTCATGTTTCTTTTCCCAAACGACAGTGAGACCTTTATTATGTCCTATCTCCATAGCAAATAGTTGACTTTCTCATTAACAGAGATCTAAATCCCATTTTTGATTTTATCGTTGCTCAATTTTTTCAATGGATTAAAAGTACGCGCGATAAGCCAGTCGTAGCTCAGATCAGTTTGACCATTTCACTATAGACGGCAAGTAAGGTAATTGAAGTTAAGCTTATGCAAATCTAGACTTTAGTTGGATCACAACTAAAAGCAAATAAAAAGATAAATCACGGAACAACTAATTCATGGGAATATTTTTACTTCGGAAATTTAAAGTACAGTAATTGTTCAGTTTTCAGAAAAATGCAAACATCTGAAAATTAAACTCGAGAACTGGCATCTTATAACTGAATCACAACCTGAGAAAAAAATAAACCTTCACCGTTCTCGAACTTATCTATTTAAAAAAAAACGAAGAAAGTTAGAAAAAAGTGTTTTCCAAAAGTCGTCTATTTGCCGTGAAGAATCAGTGTTTGACTAAACAGATAAAGCAAGTTTTAAGGGAACTGTAGTAGTTAGTAATTTTAGTTATGACACAAAGGAAAGAGCTACAAAAACACTCCAATATTCTGTTAACAAGCATTGGGGTGTCGGATTTTTAAACAGTCATTGCATCTCTACCCGCCGTCACTTCTACGATACTAATTTCCTTCCAAGGCTTTCTTGAGCTTGTATGTACAATATACAATAAGGCAATGAAGTTAGGTTTCCTTGTTACCTGTTCTCAATACCACCTAACCATGGTTGCTTGGGAAAGGTTTGTGGCCATACGGAAATGGATGGACTACAACGTAATTGTAACAAAACGCCGTCTTATCAAGATCGCTATATTCGGTTGGTTGTCGGCGATTTTCACGCGCGGCTGCTTGTACACATTATAGCCGGTAACCAGCGCGGACATTGAGGCGAAACGCATCTGGATTATGATTACAAATACCTGTGCAGTGATGAACGTTGTTATCGTCGTATATTTCTACGCCATGATTTACCACGGAATACGCCAACGTCGAGCGATAACGTGATGTTACACTTGACGAGACGATTGGCAACGACGATTTTTAGCGCAACACAGCGTTGCAACATTATTGCGACATTGTTTCGAATGGTTTCAACATTGTTCCAACATTGCAACGCTGTGTTGCGCCAAAAATCGTCGTTGCGAATCGTCCCGTGCAAAATCACCTATGTAAGAAACGCTACCGCTCTAGCACAAGCAAGACCAGAATCCAACTTTGCGAAACTGAACTAGAGGGACATGTAGGCTCATGGTATTGCGGTATTGAGCTTCTTTTTAATTGGTGTTTCCGTAATTTTGATTTTAAAGTGCGGTATTGCGGTATCATCTAGCCCTGCGGTAAGCGGTTTTTCATCCTTTTGCCTAACAATACCCGGTAAAAGAAGATCCTTCACGGTATTGTGGAACTGTTCATCGCGCTCTCCTGCACGTCACTATTTTTAAGACTTTAGACTAATGGTATATGATTACACAATTTCTGACGGTTAATCTATGATGAAATTGGTAGGGCATCTTTCTCGATCGTCCTACCGATCAATTCGAGGTCTTCTCACGTTTTCTCGCATTAGCTGAAGTTGATTCACGGCTCTTGCATAAATCCTTGAGACAAAAAAAAACATCCGAGATGGATACAACCTTAAGTAAGCATGAATGCGGTATCGGTATTTCGCCGATTTTCGACACGGTATCTCAATATCATGTTGCCAATTTTTCTTACAGTATTGCGGTATTGGGTACCCCCCCAGGTCCCCCTCCTGAACAACTGGTTTGATAACAGCTGCTCCTCTATTAACGATGATTGCGCTTGAGTTTGAGTTTGAAATTTCCGACCTTTCGTCTCACTTTCTTACTTGACATCTCGCTGACCCTAGTTGGTTGAAGTCTGTCGTAGATCCTGTTCTGTACTGCTATAGAGACCATCGTTTCTTGGTTTTCTAAAAATTGGAAAAACACACGCAACCCAAAAGACAGACGTTGGCGTCCGATTTTGTCGACAAGATAGTCAGCCTGGTCAGCATTGTTTACCAAAAAATGTTCAACACGAGCTAAAAAACGTGAAGAACCCGTCTCGCTGGAGAAGATCAGATCCCCGTTGTTCGGCTACAAGCTTGGCTGGAGCAAATGTTATGATGTTGAAGCGATCCATTTCAGCCCCATTTCCCAAGTATGACTCTGATTGTGAGGAAGAAGAAAGAGTGCAGAAAGGAATCATATATCAGTACACTATAGGAATTATATATGAGTAACCTACCTCGTCTTCTGATAATCCGCTGACCAGAAAGCGCTCTGTTTTCTGCGCCCGCGTATGTCCCAGAACTCCTTGCTAGCCGTTCTTCCTTCTCCTTTCACATGTGTTGATTATGGCGGATGCTATGGCGTTTAACAACGTTCCACCGCCCGCTACAGCCTCGTTAGATCCCAACTCAGCTTTTGCCGATGCCCTGAAAAGAGCCAAAGAGGTAAGAACTATATTTGGTGACTTAAAGGGCTGTTTAGTCAAAAAATTCAACGTGAATTTTCTTGTTAGATTGCGGCTCGGATGGGATCAAGCAGCGCTGCTGTCGCAGCGGCAGCAGAGGCTTCGCATTCCGCAGATCAAGGTACGAACATTTGCTCAGTTGTCTTTAGAGTATACTTCTGTTTGTCGTTGTAGCATCATTTTTCATTATGAATAAATCGGTGATTGTTTTGTGGTTGTCTATTTTCAGATATCAGTAGGAAAAGACCGTACGAACTTGACGGTATGTTCAATTGAAGTTCTATGATCCTAAGCATTTTTGGCAGTCATAAGCTCACCTTACTCTCACACAGTGATATTGCAATTATATTTGCTCTTTGTGACTGATTGTTAACTGTTAACTGTTTTATATGTATTTTGTTTCCCTTTTTGGAGGTGGGGAAGACATTTTAGCCAAAAAACAAGCGACTGAAGGTAGATTATTTTTTATTGTTAAGTAATTTTCTTGGAAACAAGTGAAGGTATCAAACATGTGAGATCCCTTTATAGTACGGTCGATCGAAGGGCAAACTAAACGTTCGATGTTTATCTGGTACTTGGACAGAGTATGAGCCATAATTGTAATGGTCTAAAGGTTTACTTTTTCCCTTATGTTGTTTTTAAATTGAAGGAGAAACAAAACTTCTTTTTTTCTTTTTTAATAACGCGAAGTGAAATTGCTGGAGTAAATATTGTTGTCGTTTAACTTAAGGTATCAGCCACCCTTCAGGACCGTCCGCGCGCGGATCGCTGTAGCGTTAGTTGTTTTTATAAAAACCCCTATAAACCATATATTTTTTAAAAACTTAATAATTCCAGATTATGGATTTGAACTAACAAAAACGATTTACTTAAATGTGTTTCGAAATTGGAACGCTTTGTGTAAAAGTACACGTCTCTATAAATCATGTTCCACTCCCGCCGTAAATAAACGGAAGAAAACAATTAACACCGCATTAGCTTCTCAACACGTTCCACTAAAAAACCATGTCTCAGATTTTTGACAAGTGCATTTGTTTTTCTTTTATTAGCAACTGAAGTTGGGGAAGGCAATTAGTCAACACTCCCTGTGGAAAAAAAGCTGTAGCTTTAAAATGAAAAGGAGTATTAAAATTCGCAGACACGGTTTTGTAGAAGAGATATATGGCATCACTCTGGCCAAATTTTAGCCAAATTGATTGAAAGGCTGCCGACTTGGAGTTTAAAACGTACGAGTCGATCGGCAAAATTTGCGTTCGGAGATAAAATAGAAAATACATTTTTGGCGGCATCCTACCTGGAATGAGATTATAACACCTAAATGTTTATTCTGATTGATATCAGAGAGGGATCAATTTTCTCTAACAATAGGACTTTGACAAGTAACATGTAACAGGAATAAACGTTTTATTGCTATCAACATCTTCAAGTGAACAGTTTAATTCTCCGTTGGAAAACTTCCACTCTTTTACACCACGAGAAGCACGGTTTAATTCTTTCTCGAGCATAAGTTTTGCCTCTCCTTCGATCTTTTTTGTATGATTCGCCGAGGCGTTTTTGTTGACGGCGCCAGGCCAAGGAAACTAAAAAACTTTGAAGCCGCCGAATGTCCACCACCGATTGCTCGAAGGCCAAGAACTGAGGCCCGGGATAGTTTCAAATGCTCTGCTCTTCTCGGAAGAATTAAAAACAGAATTTGTCTTGTGCGACGGAGAGCTTTTATTCTCGCACTAGATTCTCCAGGTAGAACCAAGTCCATACTTAGTCGCTACATTTTCCATGACTTGGACTCTTACCTGGCAAAATCGACAAGATACAAACTCGTCCAGTTTCTCAAGCAGCTTTTTACTCGATACGATAGCTTGACCGCTTATTGTTTTCCACGTTCCATCAGCAGATGGGGTCGATGAGCTTAATTGGCTTTCTTCATCTGGCTCTTCAAGCTGGATTTTGGAGCGGCTTGCACTCTCAGCAACTGCAGCAATGTCTCTTGCTGATAAAATGAGCCTTTGTCGCTCTCTGCCAATTTTGCGGCCCACTCTTTGTCAAACTCGCTCTTCGATTTCCTTTTCACTCTCGGTTTCGATGACGAAAACGGACAGGAGCTTTTCTTCTTTTTTTTTTTGGCAGCATTTTCACCGAAGCAAACGCTAAATATCCACGGAGAATACTAAGGGCTATAAACAACGCGAAGACAATTCACACGTGTTGTGTCGAAGCACGCACTCGGTATCACGTTACTAGTTCACAGGCAAGTTAATTGATATATGACACGGGTATGACAGATCTTGTCAACGATCAATTAAGATAGTTAACGAGAAAAAATCTTTTACCCCCGATATCTTTCGACAGAAATAATATTTTCTTCTGATTTTTTTTTTAAAGAAAGCTCTCAAGTATATCTATTTGAAAACGTTGAAATCTCAAATATGGAAAAATGGCGATTTTAAGGGTGGCTGATACTTTAATCCTTCTTGCGCCACCAAGAAATTCTAGTTGTACTTGTTTACTATGTTAGTAGATAAGAAGTATCTCTGTCAAAAATGATTCACCACGCTGATGTATATAGACAGCTAGATAGAGATTTTGAGTGGCTAATATACTATTCTTTTTGCATTTGGGTTGCAGCCTCCATGGATGGAAAAGACCCAAAATCAATAGCTATGCAAGTTGCTGCAAGCCTCGCACAAAGGTGCCTAATTATAGAGTAATCAATCCCATAGACATACATATGTTCAAAACCGAGGGTGCTTTACCATTAGCACAAACCACTTGGGTGGAAATCTTTTGCATTGACATAAGAATACAAAGTTTGACATGGTAGGAGAGCTATCATCCTCAGAGACCCAGGGGCAGATAGTGGGGGCGAGAGAAAGTCTAAACGGGCGGAAAAATATGGCATGAAGAAAAGTAAAGAACGGCAAGAAGAGCCCCTGGGGACAATGTCTTTCCAAACCAGTTTCAAACGGTCGCCGCCATTCTGACTTCTGATTGGTGCCAGAAAACTTTTGTGTTTTTCTACCCAATCAGAAGGCAGAAGGGCGGCGACCGTTTAGAACTGGTTTGGTAAGACATTGTCCCCAGGGGCTCTTCTTGCCGTTCTTTACTTTTCTTCATGCCATATTTTTCCGCCCGTTTAGACTTTCTCTCGCCCCCACTCTCTGCTCCTGGGTCTCCGAGAATGGAGAGCTATCTGCCATAAAGTATATCTACATCAGCTTAACAGACTTAAAAGTGAAAGAAATTGCATGGCCTCAAAACACAGCTATTAATATTATTTATTTGACTGAAGTTTGTGGAATGGCATGAAGTATTTGATTTTCCAACCAGCATTTCAGTGTTCAATCTAGGCTGCGTGAATATTCTGACGCAAGATGAAGTTATTGTGGAGTCATACTGATGCAAAAAAAAGTTACGTCACTTATAAGTACTTCCAAAGCAGCAGGCAACAATAAAAGTAATTTTAAAAAAATAGGCGTGCTTTCTAGTGTGAAATGAGTGCATGAAATTACCATCATTTTAGGCGCTCCATGCAATTCATGCAGAGACGGGAGCGTACATTTTGACATTCTGGATACTTTGTTTTGCCGATGGATTCACTCTTCATTTGTTGACTTTGTTCTTTATGAAACAAGAACAAAAGCTAAGTTACTTTTTTATGCAAAGGAGACTGGCAGGATCAGGATGGTGAAGCTGGAGAAGTCAGTTTGATAAGTCAACCTCTAGAACTGCAAGAGCCTATTGGTGATAATAATTTGGATGATATCTGTTGTTCAAAGTTTCAATATCTTAATATTTTGACCCAGACCATTAGAATGCCATGTGGGACATATGACCCCCCCGCCTTGACTAATTTGTAGATTGAACACTGAGAAGGTCTGGTTTTCCCATGTAAATTGTAAGTACCCCAAGTTGACACGAGGGTGACGATGCAGAACGTGGTGTATAGTTTAGGTGTGTTATGTATAGCTATTTTGCTTGAACACGTTTTGTTATGACACAACCCACAACCCTTTGGTATGTTACAGAGCTGGGCTTGGATCAATGGTGGCAGAGGACTTGAAAATCCCAAACAGATTTGTTGGATTAAGTAAGTGGGTGGTGGATGCGATCTCTGCCCTGAACTTTGAATTCCAGGGCTTTCATCAGAAGAATCTGATTGAACTGCATGCTATCATTTGCTTTGTCTCAACTTTCACTTGATTGTCTCTTGTATTGTGACAAAAGCTCCCCCCCTATAAACAAATACCTCCAGCGTGGTGTAATCTAATATGTATTGCAGACCTATATTTTCCTAGCTATGCTTCATATACGGAGCTGTGATTAATGCAAATCAAAGCACATGGTTGGATTAAACATAGCAGCTACTTTCTTTGATCTGAACAGCAAGGAAGGCATTGAAAAACAGAAAGAGATGTGCCATGCACTGTTTCCACCATTTTTTAACAAAGACTTGAAATAGTAGAAGAGTAGATTTTGACCTAAGCTCCTAGTGTTAAGAAAAAATACCTCTATGATTCTTAAGTGAATGATTCTTCTATAACTGAAGAGTCAAATGTATATCCATTTTTGAAAAAAAAAAAATAAAAGTAAAAATATTTTCTCTTCTGGTTGTTCATGCTTAGATGATCTTGATACTTTGTGGTAATCTAACTGTTTGAAGGCAGTTCTCGACTTGTTTTGCCTGAATTGTGTTGCATTTGATTTCCTTTCATAGCAGCAGGAAATTTGTTAATAGTGTAATTTTGTGCCTTTTTCAGTCATTGGACGTGGTGGAGAACAGATCAATAAACTACAGTCAGAAACAGGAGCTAAAATACAAGTTGCCCCAGGTAAACCAAAAAATAGTGTCTGTGAGGGTTGCTTTGTCAACCCCATGTTCCTTCATGCGCCTCTTTATCAACGAATTTGAGCTTGTACGTGCAGAAATAAATTCGAATGCCTTGTCTACGAGATGCTATTTATACAAGAACTCAAACCATCGCTGAATGTGCAATTTGACCCGATTGCACTAAGCCTTTCCTTTAAGAAATGTACATAATAATGAAGCAAGCACAAATGCAATCTAATTTATTCAAACGTCAATTCTTTTAACAACTTTATAACTTAACTTTTCTCACTCTTTATAATGATGTTCAAGACACTGAAGTGTCGAGTAAGGTTCTTAAGTTAAATTTTTGTTGTAAAATGCTTCAACAAGCAAGTGACTTTTAGATCTTCAGAACTGTATTATGTCTTCTTTGTGTGTTAGACCCACCTCCTGGACAGATCGCACCTCCAGACAGACATGTATCTATTAATGGAACCCGAGAAGCTGTGGAGTAAGTAACTTTTGTTTCATTCAGAAAATTAAAATAATAACTAAATTGACTGAGACTTGGTGACTCGTTGGATGGTGTAATTCCAGAGTTTTCTTTGGCTCATTGGCTGTAGTGTAACAGTATGACCCATAAATCCATTATCAAGAAAACAGATGATATGCATGTGTGAAAATATCTCCTGGTCATACTTGTACAGTCGACCCCTGATAACTCGAACCCTCGCTAACTCGAACCTCGCGCTAACTCGAACCAAAATTGATTTCCCCTTGATTTCCGTCATACATTCACTGTAATTTTACCCTCGATAACTCGAACTCCTGCTAACTCGAACCAATTTTCGTTTCCCTTCAAGTCATTTTCTATATAATTTTACCCTCGATAACTCGAACCATGTTTTGAACCCTTAAAAAGTCGGGAAAAAAGCCGTCTACTGGCGTCCGAAACATTGAATTTTGGATTTGCTATTGACGTGTTGTAGGAGTATAGTTTACTAGTGGAGGCTAATGTTGATTGTTAAATGCTAACGTGAAGTAGCTTTTCTTCTCAAAACAGTAAAACGCATGCTCTATTTTGGCTATCTTTTGTTATGTTACGTTCTGATTTATAATCTAAAAGTATCTTTTAATTTTCACTTGACATTTCTACAATTAAATGTGATTGAAATGTTCACTGTGCAGTAAAAACTGTTTCTTAACTTACTCTCAGCTATTTTCTTTGAACTCCCGATAACTCGAACCTTTTTTTGATTTCCCTTGAACGTTCGAGTTATCGGGAGTCAACTGTACATGTAAGACAAGGTGAATCAAGTTATCCGCATTAAATGGTGATAAATTTTATAAAGAGGAATTGTGGTACACCAAGTATTATAATGTACATGTATACCAAGAGTGATAACCATACCATACATGTACATTGAAGACAGAACTATCCACAGACCATCACATTCCATTTTTTTAACATGTGTTCCTCTTCTAACAGACCTGTTTTCTTTTACAACAGGAAGGCAAAAAACCTATTAAACAGAATATGCGAGGAAGGAAAGATTCCTGAATCATTGGTAAGAGACATAAGTTTTAATAAACATGACATCTTATTGTTAAATCGGCAAGGTCAATTACTGTTACTAGGACAAGGATAACATGTTCATGAGCCTTTATCACTGTTAACAAGATTTGTCTGTTTCTTCTTGTTGTTGGTGTTGTTTTGTGGCTTGTTTTAGATGTCACTGCCAGTTGTTGCTCCAGGTGAACAAGTAATAGAAATTATGATTCCAGCCAGTAAAGTTGGACTTATTATTGGTAAGTTATTAGTTTCTTTGTTTGGCAACTACTTAAGGGAGATTTCAGCTTTACATCTCAAGCCCTGCACCATTAACCATTTAACCTGAGTGAAGGTATCTGCACCAGCAAATTTTGCACATTTTTGCATCACTTTTAGTGGTTATTTTATAGATACTATCTATATGTCACTACATTGACAGTATTCCTCAGTTCTTGCTTTTCTGGTGTAAAAAAGTTTATTTTCCTCTCAAAATCAACTGTTTTTGCTCGATACTACCATCACAGACCTTCTTGCCCGCCATTTTGAATCACCGCTGTGTAAAATGCTCGTGGAAGCCTGGGAAAATGCCAAATGACCTCTCTATAGCCACCTTGGATTTTGATATGTGACCAGTTGCTAGGTGTGACGCATTTCCGGAAGATGCGTTACTCAGTGTCAGCTATAATGCAGTGAAGCGCGCCGAAGTATGAAGATTGAAGAAGAGTTTTATTCAAAATTGAAAAGAATTGCTTCTGTAAAGTGAAAGAAATTGGCAGAAAAAAAACAGACCAGAGGATTAGGGGCCAAGAAAACGTTTTACTCTCCCGTCAAAATTGTCAGAATAATTATATCAGGTGAGAAGACACACTGTTGTAATGTAAATTTAAAACAATGATAAGCCCTGGAAAACGGAGTATATTGCAAGAACATAACAAATATTGACGAGAAGCAAGTAATATTAGTCATCACAGCTTTAACAGAAGCAAGAAAAATCAAGTTGGACATACAGCGGCGGCAGTTTGTCAATGAATCCAAGCAGTAAATAGATTTTGTTCAGCACATCAATAGAACTTGATGCCGAAAAGAGGAGTTGAATTGCGCTCCTCCCGTCCTTTTTCTTAGTAACGGAAATGAAAATTTTTCTTTAACTTCTGGTAAATCAGTCAACTTTTGAGTAGATTTTCTCTTAAATGTGAAGGTATATTCAAAAAAGAACACCAGATATGCATATTACATCATCAGAACTTAGTGTAGAAAGATTTTGAGGGCAAAATAAAATGTTGAAAATTTGCCGGTGCAGGTACCTTAACAGCCAAAATTTGCCATGCCACCCCTGGTCTCCCTGCGAAATGACTTGCACATAAATTCCATTCAGTTTAGTTAATTTTCATCTGTGGTCAGGGTGCAAAGAAAATCATTTTTACAGCTTGCCATTCGGCCAAGCTGAAGGTAGCATTTACTAGCCCAGACGTCATTTCAACTAGCCCCAAAAGCTTTTCGTCGAGCAGAATTGATTTCACATTTCTTCTGTTATTCGAATTCCTCAAAGAACATCACTTGCCCGTCGGGCAAGTTAAAAACAGATTTCACTAGCCCGATAGCAAAATCCACCAGCCCCGGGCTATCGGACACTACTTTCTTTGCACGCTGTGTGGTGCAGGCTAAATATTTGCTGCCTACTCAACATTTTGCTATAACAGTTGAAATAATGACCAGAAAATTTTATGCCTTTGCCACCTACTCTGGTTATCCTGCTTTCTATTTTAAAACATTTTGACTTGGCTGATAAGAAATGTAGGATTTTCTATAAAGATTTACATTTTATTGACCTGTTTAAATGAAATTGCAGGTAAAGGAGGTGAAACTATCAAGTCTCTTCAGGTATGTTTGCCAGGGTTGGTTTGAAAACTCTACAACTCCATAAACTGGTATTTGGTTCATTTGAATACATTTTAGAGTAGTTAGCCATATACATGTGTTACTTTGTAAGCGCATGCATGATGTTTTTGTTTGCAATGAGGTTTGATGTTAATCTTGGAATGAGAGAGAGCTTTTACACTGCTCATACACACTGTGGACTTAAAAAGGGTTGTTCGTAAGTCAAGATAGAAGCTGCAACACAATGATACTAAGCAGCAAGATTCTGAGTGAATTGTGTGCTTTGTTGGTCAGCAGGTTCTTGTATGACAGCAAAATGCATTCTTTTTATTTGTACCAGTTTGTACAGCTGTACTACATTTATGTGGAGCACAGAGTGAAGAAAATTAATTCTGTTTATACATGTAAATTACTGAGATTGTAAATCATTGTATTTGATTGAGATCTAAAGCAAATTGTAGTGGGGGAGGGGGGGTCATTAAATGCCATTTTAGGCGTGCAAAATGCTGAGCAATGCAGTGTCTTTCATTGTAAAGTGCTAGATACAGCTTGATGCGAATGCAAATGTTGATGATGAAATTTCACAGGAAAGAGCACAGTGTCGCATGGTGATGGTTCAGGATGGGCCATACTTGAATGCTCCAGAGAAACCTCTTCGCATCATGGGAGATTCCATGAGAACACAACGTGGAAAAGATCTTGTACAGGACCTGCTTACTGAAAAGGAGCTTGAGGTCAGTGGCAATCCTGGGGACAGGAATTGGAAGGTGAAAATGGGTGAAACTCACAGGAATACTGGAACAGCAATAGTCCTGTCCCTTTTTAACATGTTTTTACATCAATTAATTTTAAATTTACTAACAATTATACTGTAAATTTCCTAGAGCAACAACCCTTGTTACTTTTGGATTAAGCAGCCTTTTTCTATCGCTACTTTCGGAGGGTTGCTACACTGGAACCTCGATTTCTTTGCCCCAGTTATTGTAAACTATGTGGAAAAGAACCTCAATATAACAAAACCTTGTTGTAGCGAACAGATTTTGCCAGTCCCTTTTCTCTTCTTTATATTGAGATTACACTGTACTTTCAGGAGGTCACTACTTTTGGCTAACTAAAATGTGTATTGTACATGGGTCGCACAAAGTTATGATAATAATATGGCAACAATTATGAAAACATCCACACTTTTTATTTGGAGAAACTTATTTCACATTATTGCTTTTTAAATAAAAATTCAAAACAATTAATTGATTACGGTATGGTATTCACTGAGGAAAGGAAGACGTTTTGAAAAAAAAAAAAGATGTAATGTTCCCTTTAAGTAAAACCAAGGTAAAGCTTGTTGTAACTATAATTTCCGTTATTTCTAGCAAGAGGGGAAATTACTCTTAAATCAGTACTTTCGAGGGTCGTTTGTTTTTGGACGAAGGGGGTTGCTTCTTTTAGCATTTGCTAACACCTGTGAAGTTTTATTGCGTCTTTCGAAGGGTCGCTACTTTTGGGGGGTCGTTACTTTCAGAACTTTATGGTAATAATTATTATATACCAGACTGAAAAACAGTTGTAGATTATAAAATGATGAACCATGTGACTTGATGGTTTTCTTGGATTTACAATGAATTAAGCTCTCCATTTATAACGCACTGCAATGCATATATGCATTATCAAGAATTATTATTTTCCCTTGTTTTCAGAGTTGCACCTTCTCTTTTACACTTTCTCACAGACAATATTGAGAGTTACAATAGCTTGTTATGGCCTCGATAAAGCGTTCTTCAATTCCATGTACAAAGTGGATACAATTATTGTCACTAAATTTGTTATTCATTTAAGTTGTTTTCATCATCTCTTTTCCACAGTCTTAAACTAAGGAAAATGAAAAGTGAAAAACTATTTAAACAAAATCAAGAAAAAAAATTACTGTACCACAACCAGTTCTTAATTGTAAACAAGGCTCTGGTGGTTTGATGGCAATAAGTTGTACATATTTATTTGGGAAAGAGAGTGGTTATTATTTTAAAAGGTTGTTTTTTGTAACAATTTTGTTACTGCTGCCCCTACACTGTGGAACAGCCTTCCTGCACATATCCAGGGTATTGGATCACCCTGTGCTATTAAGAGACAAGTCAAGAAAAATCTTGAGATTATAATTATTTTATTTTCAAAATTTTAATTAGTATGACTGCAAAGTGCTTTTGATCATTTTTATTTTATATATTAAAAAGTGCAATAGTAAACTTATAAATTATTATTATTATTAAAAGAAAAGCAAGATTAAAAACATCAATAATCACCTGACAGAAGTTAAAGTAATAATTGTGGTTCAGTTATTGAACCACAGCATAACACATGTATTACACGTGCAATCGATATAAATAAGCTGTTTTGTACAGTGCTAGTTAGATTTTATTATAATGTCAGGAAGCACAAGTTGTAGAAGAAGCACTTGATGAGAAGTAAATACAATGGCTAACTTAAAAGATTTGTCTCTACAGAATAACATGCCTGGCATGGACTTCCGAGGAAAAAGACCAGACATGGGTAGAAACCAAGCTGGTATGCAGCAAATAGAGGTGGGTACATCAAGATTTAGTGTTAGTTGCATATTATCATGGGTGACAAATTACTGCTTAATTTTGGCACAAAATTTTAGGGTTAATTTATAATAGTTATTTCACTTGTGAAATTACAAAATTGCTATGCCAAAATTCCGTACGTGTCAGCGCCAATATGGCATTAAAGTTTTAAAATGCTGTGAATGGAGATGTCTGCGCATTTTAAGATGTTTTGCCAGGGAAAGCTTAAATAAAATAATATTGTTTATAAAATCAAAGTTAAAGCTTTCCCTTTTACACATACTTGGATATCAATTTTTGAGGAAATGTTACTTTTTATTTAGAGCTTGTAAACTCATATTTGTGGCTTACTTGTGAGTGCTATGTCTTTGGCATTGTTATAGTGACTGATACAATGTCATTGTTGTCAGCCTAAATGATAATATTGTTCCAGTGTGTGTCGTTAAAATTGTAAGATGCTTCCATTAGATTATGTCTATAGTGAAACCTGTAGTAGATTGTGCATAAAGTAGACAGCTTGTATTACAAGTTTCATTCCACAATGTATTGCTGATCCATTTTTTGCAACTGAATGCTTTTTTGAGATCAAGTAAACTGTACAATGTTAAATGTAAATAATAGCCTCAGACACCTCTTGAAAACAGGTTCTTCTCTGGATAGTGTCCATCTTCAGATAGGACATTATATAATAAACTTTTGACCTTTTTTGGTACGTGTAGATTCCAGTTCCTCGAGATGTTGTTGGTTTTGTTATTGGTAAAAGTGGGGAAACCATCAAAAGAATACAAGCTGAAACTCAAGCTAGAGTGCAGTTCAATATGAGTAAGTGGATACTGTACTTTTTTGGCACATACTATTTCAGAAAAGGTCTTTTGTCTCACTCCTCTATTGTGTAACCTTCTGTGCAGCATTGACTTGTCTGGCCTTTTCATTGTCTCTTGAACTAACTGTTGGTAAATAAAAGCCTTGTCATCGCTGGCTGTGGGCCATGTGATTTCTTGCAATATGCTCCGGCCTAGCGTTAAATTTGCATTTCATTAATGTAATCCCTTGATTGTTAATAAAACCCTTCATGCTACTGCATAAGCTCACGATAATGATGAGATAATTTATGATGAGATACCGGTAATATTTTTGTAATATTTTGAGATATCTATTTTGTTACAAACTTGTAAACTTACTTTAAAGAATTCCTTTGTCTCTTTTAGGAAATCCTTATTTAGCTTGATACAAAATGTTCTTTGTTTTGCCTGCTTGTGCTTCAACCTTAATGATTGCTTTTGTTTTGCCTTCTGTGCACTAACAGGAGCATTTTATTGTTTTGGTTTCCTTTTAGAAGATAACTCTAATGCCCCTGAGAGGATGGCATCTGTCCAAGGAACACCAGAACAGATCCAGAAGGTCACAGACATGATCCAGGAAATTATACAACAGGTGATTATGATCTCAACTGTGTGTTTACTTGTATATTATAATGAAAAACTACTAGACTGCTGAAAGTCTTAATACAATACGGTACTTGCTTTTTAGCAAGGTGTATTGGTATATGATTTTCAAACCCCTTGGAAAAGGTGGTCCACTTGACCAGGGGTATTTAATGGTACTTTTCATTCAGGGCAGGAAAAAGCGCAGGTCAGATTGCCCTGGGCAAGTGAATTTTATCTTGGGCAAGTGAATATAGCCTCAAAGTCTGTCTGAAAGTGTCAGTTTAGTGATAATCTCCAGACAGAAACTTATTAACAACTGAAAAGATGAGTGAGACAGTTATTTGAAATCATGAATGAATTAAAATCTAGGATTGCTTGTTGCTCCTCCAATCACCATAAATATTAGTCTTGCCTTGGACCAGGCTCTGCAGTAGGGAAAAGCACAAAAAATGGGTTGAAAACAGAATAAAACAGGCGAAAACTCCTTCCCCAGACTACCACTCGGCTCACTTCGTTTGCCAATTTTTTTTTGCTCTCTCGATTTTTCTTTGTCACCTTTTTTCCCCACTGCAGAGCCTGGTCCCAGGCTATATTCGTTAAATCCAGTAGTTACTCTGTACAGGGTTCACACACGCCTTGAAAGTCCTTGAATTTTAAAATAAAAATTCAAGGCCTTGAAAATTGTAGTCGGTGCTGAAAAATCCTTGAATTTCGGTGCTAACTTTGTCCAACCTGGATTCTCAAGTACTTACAAGGAGCAAACTCAGAAAGACCCTCAGGATAAAATTGCTTATCAGGGTTATCACTAAGATTTCAAGTTGCCGGGTAAATACAACAAGTAGGCGGGGAATCAAACGGCTAGGGATTTCTTTTGGTTCTATTTTTCTTCTATTTTCCAATAAAAGTAGCCTGGGGCCACTCTCTTAGTAGCCGGGGAAAATCCCCGGCCCCCGGCTCTTAATGACAACCCTGCTTATGTTGTGGAAGACCTAAAAAAGACATATACTCAAGGCTCTTTTTTGCATTGAATGGAGTCCTTGAAAAATGGGAAATGTGTCCTTGAATGTCCTTGAATATGTGTTCAAAAAAGGGTACGAACTCTGTATCTGGCACAGCATGTCAGAACTAGTGATTTTATATGTTGTTATAATCTAAAACTTATTATTATACAGTACCCAGAATTATAATGCATTCTTCATCAAAACAATGTGGTGTCCTAAGTGTACAGTACGTTATTGTGCTCATTCATGTACAGTTTCTTCTACAATGGATTTATTTATTGCTGGTCCAATTATTTTTCCTTATGCAGTCCAGACAACGAGGAGGACCACCCCCCAAGGGACCACCTGCCAACATGCCTGGAGTCAATTCTGTTGAATTTCCTGTACCAGGAAATAAATGTGGCTTGATTATTGGAAAAGGTGAGTCACATAATGGTGAAATGATGAACACTAAAAAAATCTTTATTTCTGAAAGTGTAAAGTACTTGTTCAACTTTCCCTATTAATAGATATGATTTATTGCATGTACATGAGAGAATAGTAAATTTAAGTCACTAACTGCTACCCTTAGCTAGCACTCTGCCAAAACAGTCACATTGCTCATACCTGCACGAGTAAAAATAACTGCAATTTAATCAAAACCACGGCATCTGGTGTTAGCAGTTTTCTTTCGGGTAAGTTGATATTATGGTGTGTCTATTTATTTTTTCAGGGGGTGAGACCATCAGAAATATAATAAACATGTGTGGAGCCCATGTGGAATTGAACAGAGCTATCCCTGAGAGTGCTCCAACAAAATACTTTATTATACGAGGTACACCATTGGGCGAGAACTTTTTCTTGTTTTATTTTAATAATGTTGAGATTTTGTCACCAAATTTGTTTGTTTTTTTTGGGGGGGGGGGAATTATTCTGAGATAGTAGGTCATGATCAGGGAAAGACAATTCACCTTGAACGATAGATTTGGAATCTATTCTCCTCTGCTTTGGCACACTTGATCACTGCGTGATCAAACATAGCAGTCAAAAGGGAAGAAAGGAAATGATTATCATGTAAAGGGTTCTCGATTTTCACATAGTTATCTTCACATCATTGCCGTGGGAACTGTATGAAAACTGCAGAGAATAATGCATGCCAATTTAAAGGTTCATATGGTTGTAAACCATTTGTACTTGTAGGGAAGACTTCTTCAGAAGGGTTGATGTTGTAGTGACCTAACTATTGATTTCTTTTGGTTCTATTTTTCCTCTTTTTGTTTTTTCTATGAAAGTAGCTGGGGATCATGTTTATACATGGCCATGTACCATGGTGACCAAAATAGCTTCAGCTTGGAGTGCTGGAGCCAGGCAACTTTAGAACTAATGATTGTTATGTTTTGATCAAAGGTACTGATCAACAGATCCAGCATGCCCAGCAGTTGATAAGGGAAAAGATTGAAGGGGATCGTGCTGGCGGTGGCAACTTTAACCAGGGAGGGGGGCAAAACTGGAATCAGCCTGGATGGAACCAGCAACAGCAGCAGGGCCAACAGCAACACCAACAGCCACAGCAAGGGGGCTGGTCACAGTATGGTGGCCCATATGGACAACAACAACAGCAGCAATATGGTCAGCAATCACAGCAACAACAGCCTCAGCAATACGGCCAACAACAGCCACCTTATGGTGGACAGCAGCCCCCACAGCAACAAGTAAGATGCATGCTACAATTGCAGTAGTAGTGAACTACAGCATTTGTATTGGGAATATTTATAACTTTTGTCTCGTGTTAATCTTCTTATGAAGGAGGTAGAAGCTGTAAGGAAGAAGGCAGGCTCCAGTTTTTGTATTAAGTTTGCAAAGTATAGTCTAGATAACCAGCTTGATTGTACAGTTAGATATCTGAAATTATATTTGTTTTGTGTGTGAGAGTTTAAGGTAACCCAACTTTGAGCTAAAAACCTAAACAAATGATAGTTCAGAGTAAAAAATATCACTCCTCCTATTTTTTCTGAGGGGAGGGAAAGGCTGTAGACTAACTACCCCCATACAACAAAATTTTCACTTACATGTAGGACAGTTATAAGTTGGTGAGGTTTGCCTTTGAATGTTTCAGTGGTACATGTACAGCTTTACCTATAAGATAATGGTTGAACTGTTGTGTAATAAAACTTATATCATGCTTATTGTTTTTTTAGGGTCAGCAGCCAGGGCAGCAGCCAGGTAAGGTTATCTAATGTCATTTTATTAAACATGCAAACAGTTCCGGAGATCAGTTCATCTTTCATATAATTGTAAGGTTTCAGGGCGTGAAGAAAATTTGAATTCTAGCTCACCCATTGGATAAGCAGCGTTAAAATTTTCCTTGCCCCAGGACAGCTGCACGTATGCTTGTCTTAGTATTGTTTTATTGTGTTTTTTATTGCCTGTGTAAGCAGGAAAAGGTACATGGCCGGGAGGGACAACTTCTTGTGGCGGATGAATGAATGGAATATGGCTTAAGCCCCAAAAAATTCCACTTAAAATGTAGCCCTTGTCATATCAGACTGAGTCCACTAACATCTTAACATCCCCAGGTGATTTTGTGATTGTTATGAGGTTACCAAAATGTTTTGGAGTCAATGAATTTGAGACGAACATTAGACCCTTAGTTTTTCTTGTTTTGATCGAGAATTATTTATTTTCTTCAGGCCAGGGTCAAGTAGACTACTCTGCAGCATGGGCAGCTTACTATCAACAGTACTATCAGCAGCAAGCGGCTGCCGCTGCCGCAGGTAAGTTGATCTCGTCTCAGTAGCTATTGGTAGTTGATAAACAAGTAAAACGTTTATTATTTCCTCTTCCTTTACACCTTGGTAATTTCACTTTCTGTATCCCAGTATTGCTCAAGCAGTCTTAGTCTTTAGTCTTATCCATACATATATTTATAGTTCTTTTTCGTTAACGATATGTATTTTGTCACTTAATTTTTGTTTTATAATTTCAGTTTGAGGGCCACTAGTTATTCAGTTGAAGTACTGTCCCATGTTACCCTTGTTAAATAAAGTTGATTATGATTATTATTATTATTATTATTATTATTAAGCAGTATAACAAGAAATATGAAATTATGTAGGATTTTTGGACTGATTGAGGTTACTTAATTGACATGATGTATGCACTCCTGTGACTGTTAAAACAGTGGTTGACCCTTCATACAATTAATGGTCGGTTTTAGTCTTGTTGGGCGGATAGCCGATGAAACAACCATTCTGATAACACGTAACACCCTCCGATGAACTATTTGTTATGTGGGAAGATTTAATAACTTGTGTCCAAACAGGTCAACCAGGAGCCCAGCCAGATTACTCACAAGCTTGGGCAGAATATTACAGACAGCAGGGATACTATTACCCATACCAGCAGCCACAGCCAGGACAACAGCAACCACCACAACCAGGAGTACCAGGACAGCCGCAACAAGGACCCCCAGGGGGACAACCGCCTCAGGGGGGACCCCCAGGGGCACCACAAGGCCAGTAGAAGTTAGGTGAGTAGCTATGGTAATGTTTGATTTGAAGGGGTAGTGTTAGTGGGATAGAGTAGGGGATGTTTCTTGGAGGAGGGGGGGGGTGGGTAGTGGTAGTTTTGCTTTAGTCATTGTATGTCATTTGATGTTTATCTTCAGGGCATTTTTGACATAACTTTTATAAAGACTAAGAGTACATGTATCATGAATCAGTTCTTAAAATGTTTAAGATTTTTCTTGAGTTTACCTATGCTGTGGTGATGATGAATTTTATTGTTATTTACTAACGGTGATTATCTGAGATTGACATTGTATAGTCAACTACTAAATTATATCAAAGAAGAGCGAAAGATCATGCAAAGAACTGTCACTGTCAGGTCAGCATGCCACTGCACAATCATTAAGACATGTTCTATGATATAAAGAAAATTTTAGAGAGAATTTATTGAACGTAATGAAATTAACTTCTCCTTGGCAAGACTGAGTGGGTCTGTGTGTTAAATAATCATTATAATTATATGTTTTCTGTTGCTTTGGGTATCTAGATTAGTCAAGCAATGAGTGGCTTAACTTATTTTATACATATTTTAAAGGTGTTGTGTTAGCTCTTTCACCAGATTCGTTAATGTTGACGAGTTCGCTATCATCACTTGTCTCTTGTAGGAAGATGGCAACAAACAGTGCTGCAGAAGAAGACCCCAACTTTTACCCTATGGTTTTCTCTTTCAACATCATGATCGTGATTTTGCTACCTCCATAATCATAAACTGTATCTTGTATATTTTGCATTTTTAGTTTATATGTGTAAGCAGTTGTTCTGCGTTTGTACTAAATTTATTTGGATGCTTTTGTAAACATGACCGTTCATGTACGCTCCTAGACGAGCCTGAAAAAACCGTCTCATAGGTAGGCCGCTATTAAAGAAACCATTTTTATTTGTGCGTGAATTGTTATTTTGCTGCAAATACTTTAGGTAAAGACGTCAGCTCAGGGACTCGGGTGAGTCATTTTAGAGTGGTCTGTCGTACTTGATAAACTTAATTTTATCCCTTTCCCTAGTAAAGATATTCAGTATTTTAACAAATATTTTTTATTCTTAATCGGTGAAAATAATAATAAACAGCACATCGTAAAGTAATACCTACCTGAAGGTTTACTTAGTTTGTTTAGGTGAAGAACTTAAATGAAAGTTCATATTTTAGGAGAACAATTTAACGTTGTTAGAAAAAAAGCACTTTTGCTTACGTCTTAGACTGTCTGTGGTCAAAATTTATGAAAAATCCCCAGTTTCTCTTAACATGATACATTATGTTAGCAATGCTTATTTGAATTTTGTTCCTTGACTCCTTAGTTGATTCTTGGAGTTAAAACCTAAAGAAACCGTATGACATAACGTTACATGTAAACAGTGACCTTAATAATAGAAATAATGTTTTTGAAGTAGGGCATTGCTCTTTTGTTGTGCTCTGTTTCTTAACTTTTACGTACATTCATCGTTTAAAAACTGTTTCACTGGCTGTTTGCACTGGAGTAGAAACGTCAGCCTTTCGGCATATCTTTTTGTATGAGGGCTTAGAATATGTTTAAGTGGATTTAAATGGTTGTGTTTTTAATATTCTCTACTTATGTCTTTGGATGGGAATTTTGTATCTCATATGTTAATAACTTAATTGAATTGTTTTTGTCTGTGTCGTTGCCTACCAGTCATGAAAAGGAGGACGTTCTTAGTTTCATGTTACGGCAGTTACAAAACTTAACTTTTACTGTCAAACAGATTAGAGACGTAGGAAGTTCAGGAAAGACATATTCTTGAAACTAAAAGTGTTGTCCTTTTCCCTAAATAAGTCTCATATATACCTTTGTATTCTCATGTCTATCGTTTTATTCAAGTTAAAATTAGTTAAGATTGACTTGTTGCCTTTTTTCTGACCTGTAGCAGGCTCGTCCCTTTTAAAGTTTATCTTCAATGATATGAAACAGTAATGTGTGCATTGGGACGGTCATTTTAAAACGTAGCCTAGTAATAATGATTGAAATCAGTATTATGACATTTGTTTTGTCTTGTATGAATGCTACTTGCTTAGACTGTCATGGTTAATGTCTATTGAAGTTTTTGTTGTTGCTTTTTGTATATGCAATCTTGCTTGTAATAAATTGTTCAGTCTAGATTTTTAGGTTGGGAATAACCACGCTGAATAGGAAAAGACACAGTAAACTTACATATTAAAATAGCAGGTTATTCAGAATGACTGATGTGGATGAAATATGAGTTGTTTTATTTCTGTTTTCACAAGTTAACTGTCTTTAATTTGTTCTTGATGAAATTGCATTTATGCTTGAGAAATGTCATAAAGAGGATATTTTGTTGCATTTTTGCATTCCAGACGCAATCGACTGGCAACATGGACTATCACAAAGTCCCGGCGCGTTCAGTTGCCGGTGGTCGTGGGTTATCTAAACAATTTAATTGTCGTTGTCACACGTGTTGTTATAATTATTTGACAAAGTTTTGAACAGTTTTTAATGTAGCCTACTAAAGCTGTTTCATGCATTCATGTAATTTTTGCTCTATGCGTTGTTAGTATAAATAACAGTGTTTCTTTTCAGAATGTCTCCACGGAGTTGGGGCTTGTCTGGGCGATTGATCCGTTATGTTGCGATGTATCTGCCCTCAGAACATTTTTGTACCGTTTATTCCGTCTTAATGTGGTTTTGGCGAAATTGTATTAATGCGGGAAAAGTTTTATTTTAAACTGCTTTAATTGTTGCTTTGTTTTGGATTAGTGGCACGAATAGCGCTAATATTTGGCAAGAATACTAATACACCATAAAGGATCAAGATCATGAGGATATTTCTGTTTTAGGTCCATTCCGTTCTAAAGTCATTGCTTAGTACCTATACCCGTACACAAAATGTTCCTGTAGAGTTATGAAGAAGCTATCAAACAAACTTCATAAGGAAGCACTAACTATAATATTTTTTGGGTGATTTTCGCTGGCATAGCATTAGTACTTAATAAACGTGGCCCATATTTTTCAAGTTTCAATCATGTACATTCTTGCCATCCGTAGCAACAGACGAAAGGAAAAGGTTTCATTGCCTAACCCAACTATAGTGTTAAACAACAAAAGTGATCACAATCGTAGCAAATGCAGAGAAGATCCTTATTGTTAAAACTAAAAATGTTGCCTTTCCCCCTAAATTTTTTAGTTTACTCTATGCCATGAATAAACCTTTTAACGTTAATACTACCAGTGAAAAAATAATGTTCAATTTGTTTCCTATACATTTTCTGTGCGCTGAGGAGGAGAAATTGTGTAATGATGAACATTTTATTTAGTGACCATTTGCGTTATTCTCATGGCGTTCATTAAGCAGTGACATTTTAAGGGAAAATTAATCAAGACTGATTTTTTTGTTTTTTTTTTTCTAACCTGTAGCAGGCGATATGAAACGGAGAAATGTGTCGACTGGGACGATTATTCTAAAACGTAACCAATTAACAACAATCTTTGAATTCATAATCATGACATTGGTTGTGCTTTGTTTGAATGTTTCTTGATGAGAGTTATGGTTGTCGTTACTATTTGTGTATGCATTCTTTTTTGTGAAATGTTTAATTTAGAGTGTAGGTTGGAGCAACCACACCGAATGGGAAAAGACACAGTAAGCTTACATAGTTAAATAGCAGTTTGGTATTATTTAGTATTGGAATGATTGAAGTGCATGAAGATTGTTTTGTTGTTCAGTTCCTATTTTCCTATTTCTTAAATTTATTCTTGATGAGATTGCATTTATACCTAAAAAATGTTATGAAGAACCTGTTTTGTTGCATTGTTGCATTCCAGACGCAATCGACTGGCAACAAGGACGATCGGAACGTCGCGGCGCAATAAACTTCTGGTTGTCGTTGGCTTATTTTTAAAAGCAATTTAAATCGTTTGTTATTGTCGAATGTGTTATAATTAGTTGATGAAGTTTTTTGAACTTAAACATGGCTTACCAAATTTGGTTTATAACTGCATATTTTTGTTTTTCGCTCTGTTTGTCCATTACGGTTATTGGAATGAATAACAGTGTTTGTTTTCAGAATATTTCCACGGAGGTGGGACATAACTGGGTGACTTATCTGTTGTTGTGCATTTATACTTTCAGAACATGCAATATTTTATGTCGTCTTACTTTACTTTTTTTAAGTTTTATTAATGCGTTGCAAGTTTCATAAAGAAAATGGTTTGTTGCTTTGTTTTCTGGATTAGTAGCATAAATGGCGCCGATGTTTGAACGAGAATACATGACCAATTCAAGTCTCGAATTTACTTGCAATATCCTTTAAAAAGGGAAATACCAAATTTGTTCAGTATGCTTACATTTGGGCGTCATTTATGCAAAATGTTTATAACATTGTTGTATTCTAGATATGAAAATCATCAGAAAGCCGTGACGTAATTAATCTGCTATGTCGTCGTTTAATCACGTAAATAGTCAAGCCGTTTCTGTTGCATTCGTGTTGATATTGTCCATAGCTCTTTTCTAATTACTAGCACAGGCTAGAAATGGATGTGGGATGCCGAAACCAGAGGCTCACTTTTTATAATTATTACCAATGTAAGACTTTTGAAAACTTGTTTTTACCAGTGAAAAGTTGTCTTTTTTCTCTCTCTTATCGATTTATTTATTGTTGAAATTGTTCATAGTGTTTCTTTACAGAAAGTACTACTCAAGAATTTCGAAGATCTCTTGAAGAAGCTTGTTTTTCTCGTTCGCTATCTTTGTTGGGTCGATTTACAGCTTTCGGGGTAATTTTATCCTTATTTCTGTGGTTAAGTATTTCAAATGAATTGTTCATTTTCGTTTATGCAATTGTGTTGTTTAATTGCCCTTTCGTATGAAAAAAAGTTCGCATAAATAACGTTGCATTTCAGAATTGTTTCTCATGTTATTTTGTGGGGGTGTTTTTATTGTCTTACTTCTTGATGTGAAAATGGTGATGTTGCCTTTCAGAATCGTAGGGTATGGTCTTCAGAAAACTCTGAACTAACCATTATGTAATTCTGTTTATGCCGTATTGTCATTGCATTGTTCAATTTGTTTCTGGATTTTGTTTCTTGATGCACAGTCGTGGTATTCCACTCCTTTCTAATATGGCTGATGAATATTGTGGTCTGTTTTTGCGATTTTGAAGTGTGGAAGGTGTCTCATTGTCTTTTGGTGTTTGTTACCTGATTTTAACTTATTTTGATACATGCTATTGTCATTTTTCGAATTTATTGTTGTTTTTGTTGCGAATGGTAATGGTCTTTTCCAGAAAATGACCAGGGCATCAAGAACAAAGCAATCGAACAGTAAGCTTTAAAATGTTTAATTGTTACTGACTCTTCGATCTGATTAATCTTTGCTGTGACATTTTAACACGAATGGCACTGGTGCTCCCCTAAAGGAGGCAATTATTTGATTTAGGCCAAACTACATGAAAAACTTCGTGTTTGAAATAATGTCAAGCGCGTAAAGGAGATAAGTTCAGGTATCCTAAAACCAGACCGCTTTAAAATCCGGCGGTTGGGCCGTGTTCTCAGATTTTTTTTGACGAAAAATGTTTGATAGGCGATGTTCAAGGGATCGAATCCATTGACACGGGTTTGTTTCACATTAACTATACTGGGGTATATTATCAACGTTAAGAAATGGGATGCAAGGCGTACTTAGTGTCGTTTCTCATGTGCAATTTTATTTCAGTCTAAACCTATGCATGATGTCCTTGCAAGTTTTTTTTTTTTGCATCCTTTTTTTTAGTGTTAGTTATTACCGTTGATTGTTGCAAAAATTGTGTAAGTTGAGGTCTTCATTGTTGTTTGGGCGATAACAATGTTGCTTTTCAGAAAAAGCGGCCATGATACTAGCGAGAAAGCAAGTGAGGTGCTCCTCTCCCAAACGTAAGCTGCTGACATTCCAGTTGATAATTATAAACCATTTTGGCGATAAATATAAATAAACATACTTCAACACTTACTTGAACGTGTTTCATTGAATCGTGTTTGACAATCTTTTATTTGTGTGCCGATCACTTCGAAACTTCAAAATTCGCCCCTCCCCCCACCCCTCCTCGGGCTCCCGAGGGTGGGGAATTTGAACTTTGCCTGGGTGGGTTAGGGACCGAAAGTGCCAAGATTAACTTCTTTTTATCCGGTGTTTGCCAAATAAAGTGTATCTTTTATTCGCCAACTTTTTCGTTTTCTCTGTTTATACATTCCCGTGAAACAGCTACGTTGGTAGTTGCACAGTAAACACCCACAAGTCAGAACCTGTGTTAGCTAGAACAGGTGGCACGAATTTTTAACGCCAACCGGGGACTCTGGTGCAACTTTTTAAAACACTACCAAGATCGCCAGGCCTTTTGCAATAGTCACGTTGTCAACTAAGACAGTTCGCCTTTGGAAAATTTTGTTCATCAAAATTAAGATATTATCAGGGCCAGAAAACTAACAGTCCTTCAAACTTATTTTAAAACAACAACATTAACAACAAGTATTTTTTAACCACTGTTGTTGGTTTTTTCAAACATTCTACTTTTGAACTTTTATTTAAAGTTTTTCTTTTTAAAAGTTGATCACGTGATCAAGTAATGCGAAAGGCCCAATCGACATAACGCCAACCGGGTCTCTGGTGCAGAAATGACGAAAAGAACAAACGAGATTGTAGGTGAGATGACGAAGAATTGAAGCGTTAACTGAAGGCAGGATATTGACTAAAATATTTGCGCATATTCCTTTGTGTAGCCGTTTTAGTTTCCTTTGTGAAGAGAACAGCAGGATGATCTAGAGGTTGAAGTCCTTGAATAAGAGCTCGGTTGCTTAAGGCAACTTGGGATTAAGTGTTTATTTCCTGCAATCACTCTCTTTTTCCTGGAGGATATCCTTGCTCCATATCATTGAGCACTCGGCCGAAGGCTAAGTTTTGAAAAGAGAATAAAGAGTGCTTCCTTCCGAACGCAGAAAAAGATTGCCGAAAATTCGCGCTCAATCTCAAGTCGTACCCAGGTCCCTGAATGAGCAGCTACCATTTATGACTTGATCGCTGAGTTTCCCTGATTGAGCTGTTGCTCGGACTTCATTGCAGAGTGAGACCGGAGTTCACTTGGACCGAGACCTGAATTTGTTAAACGAACCATACACAAAGCAATGAAGACTAGTCAAGAAACGTGTTGTTTATTGACTAATAATAAGCATTAGTGGGTGGGGCAAGATCAGGAGAGATAGCACCCATGCATCCGTTCCCTAATAAAAAAAAAAGATCGGTAATGTCTATGAATGACGGCATTTTCCCAAACCAGAACTTGATGGAACATTCAGCAAGTTGATAAAGACCGCTATTCAGATACAGGTAGGCGATGCAAGCTCCTCCTTAAGCAACTCCCAACGTGAACGGTTGAAATGACGCAGCTACGTTGATTCACTCGCCAGGCTTCTGTCTCAGTCTTGGTTGATTTCGTTTTAACCATTTGCTAAAGGAATTCATTACAGACCGCTCCTCTTCCTTGAAATGCGTAACGAGGCCCTCCTGTAAGTCGGGATTAAAACAGGCATATCATTTTTAGAATAAGTGCTTTGAACTCTTCATAATTGAGTTTCCGGTGAGAAGCCTAAACTAAGCAAATTTTATGTACGTTTCCTCATTTGTTTGTTTGGTTAATTTGTTTACTGGCTTACGAAAACAGTCCCTTACCAGAAGTATCCGTTTCACATAATTTTATGCCCACAGGCTCTTACCTTGCCTAGTCCCTAGGCATCAATATTGCGCCCGGCCAATGCGTTTCGGGTCACGTGATCCGAGCGAGTGTTTGAGCCATTCGTCTCTAACCCTAACGCTAACCGTAAAACAGCATTCTTTAAAAAAAAAAGATCGACCCCAATCCCGGCCCCAACCCCGACCCCGCCTTTTACTGACTCCCTACCCCTTTCAGATACTAGTTTAAAACGATGTATCCCTTTTAACTGTTGAGCTGTTTTAAATGCACCGTCTTTTGAATATGAATACATCACTAAGCCAGAAAGATTTCTCTTCTTCACAACCCCGGAGAAAATGTGCTTGATAGCCCCTTACTAAGGTCCTATCACAAACTGCAATTACAGATCTCCCATTGAAATCCCTAAGGCTCTTTTGGGCGAAGTTTTCCCACCCCCCTCCCCGGGCTAGTCTGAAAGAAGAGGGAGACTGGGGAGAGCATGAGGGTGTACGGCAAAAGGACCTTCATAGCCTCCATATCCAGTTCAGAAATCTTTGAAGCTTCCTCGAATATCTTCGGACGTCTTCGGATATGATCGTATTCTTTACGGAAAATATTTGTCTTCCACGGATTAAAATCACACCTTTGACTCAAACCAAGGCTAACAAGAATAAAACACTGAAGAGCAATTGCCCGCCTTATAAGATACCCCAACACAGAAAAATCTGTCTCACAAGCTAGGCCCAGTCTGCGTCCAGGAGAATTTTAACACAACCTTTTGATCGAAAGAGGCAGAGATCTGTTTTAAAAAGAGGATCTTTTTTTTTAAGAAGGCTGTTAACTACAAGCCAAAACCTAACCAAAATCAGGTTACACAAAATAACCCAGCCCCTCCCCCCCGCCCCCGCCTCCCCACCTTACTGGGAAGTGCTCTAATTATAATTTCTAAATGAATTTTGTGTTTGATATATTACTAGTGATCTAGGCAAACAACACGAAATAAATAAGAAGGAAGTTTTCGCCGAGTATTGCAATGGGTGCTTTTAAGAATATACTGAAGTATGAGAGAGTTTGAAGGAGGGCACGCTTGAGTGACGGAAAAGCCACTCAAGCGTTTTCTTTTCACAATTGAATTGTTTTGCTAGCTTCACACGTACACAGTTAATCCAAAGAAATGCAAATTAACGTAGTGTAAACCGGCTCTGATCTGCAATGATTCAATTCAAATAAACGCACGCGAGTAATTTCATTACAATTTTAAGTTACCACAGAAGAATAAACACAATCCTAAAAATAACCGGAAGACTTATTGTGGTTTGTTCTGATTGAAATAGATATTAAAACGAGCCTACTCACCCATCCACCATTCTGTCTGATCCACGGACTTAATCGCCTAGCACAAAATCGTCCCATCCATCCGGACACATTGCGGATAAATCTCGTGTCACCGGCTTGAGTAAAATCATAGGCAAGCGCACCGGCAAAAGCGTATACCGCTACAATGCGTCCCCAGTTGATTCCCGAGGCGATGATATTCTCCGAGACACGATTGAACATATGACAGACGAGGATACCAAGATTTATTCTAAAGTTCAGTTGTTCCAACACGTTTACGTAAAGCTTGGGGTAGCTATTTTCTAGTAATGTACCCACTTCACAAAGAGTCTTGATCACATCTTCGGAACACGTGGCAAATGAATCGAGCCTCTCGTTTTTACGGCTCTTTGGATTAAAGAAACACAATTCTGAGCGGGTAAATCTGGCTTCGATGTACTTCTGGCACAAAAAAGCAGCTTGTTCTGAAATTTGGACTTCCTCAGCAGACAACGCGGTTGAAACATGCTTGATACCTTTCCTCGCCTTTCGAAACAGAAATCCACTTAAGCTAGTCCAAACGCGAACTAAAAATCTCCAGATGATTGTCAGCTCCATAATTTTATATACGCGTGTGTTAACAGAGCCTCGTGTTGTCGTTTGAAGTTCAAAACAATGTCAAACTTACTGTATTGAAATTACCTGTCCACTTCAAATTTACATATGAATACAAACGGCGATCGGTGCGAAATGATTGTATGCTGGCGGACGTTTGTGCTCTCACGAGGCTCTTTCTAGAAGCAACGTAAGGAAATTAAATGAAACGCATCTGTCCTCTCAGTATCGCAATGATCATGAATAGTGAAATGAGACACTGTGATCAGAGTCTGGGGTATCGATATTAACCTTGACCCAGTGGGCGCTCAAAAACACATGTAATAACTGGGTTCAAGCCGGGTACTCTTTGATGACGTTATTGGTGGATAAGTCGCTTTTCTTTGCTTCCGTTTCAGAAGAAAGAGGATTTTTGTTTACCAATAAATGATTACGAATATGATGTTTCGTTTTTAAAAATAAAACAAAAACCAGTTTGCATAACATCCTTTTCAGATTTTTCAGGGGCACCCAACGTTAATTTTCGGAAAATATCTGTTCGGAAGACGATTTGAGATCTAGAATTTTCGGAACATTTGTTGTAAAATTTCTTTCTGGCTGAAATGTTAGAAAAGGTAAGTTTTGATCCCTATAATTTTCGGATCACTAGACTTTCAGCTAGGAAATCCGACCAGATGAGCAATTTTTAGGGGATAAAAATATGCCTATATCTACCGTTTAAATACTAAAATACGTTTAACAATGCTATGTTTAAGTGCTTTTGAACTACATTCTCGTTAGGTGACCCTGATTTTTGATAACCTACGGTGCGCACATCAGATCCGAACAATCTGCGAGCCATGCTAGCTATGGGAAAAATAGAGTTTTATGAAATTGTAAATGTATGAAAAATGTTTTCCTGCTTAGTTCCGAGGTTTTTGCTGATGGAATATTGCAGAATTACGCAGTATTGATCGACTTTCACTGATTAGGGTTAATTAAAGCGCACATTTTACTGGCTTTACGGATTAGGGTTAAGCCGCGCTCTTCAAGGTTAAAAACTTTTTTTACGGATTAGGGTTAAGGGCTTTTTGGCGTTAAACTTTCGTTTACAACGCTTAGCTTTCGGTTAACTTTTTTGCGTATTACTGTTTTTTCGACTTTTTCCATTTTTCTTACGCATGGCTCGCTGGCACGCACTATGCCAAACTCGCGCCCATCGCCTGGTGTCAACCTTTTCATAGCCTGTGTAACCGCGTACCTTGCTGGCTTCGCCGCTTGCGAAAATCCCTCGTGTTATCGCTGCCTAACCGCCGCCTGGTTATAGCTCAGTTGGGAGAGCGCCGGTCTGCCGAGCGGGAGGTCGCTGGCTCAAACACCGACCGGACCAACACCTCAGGGTCTTTAAATAACTGAGAAGAAAGCGCTGCCTTTGTAATGACATCTGCAAATGGTTAGACTTTCTAGTCTTCTCGGATAAGGACGAAAGAGCGTAGGTCCCGTCTCATAGCAATTTCATTGATTTGTTCCTGTGGGACGTAAAAGAACCCCATCACTATTCGAAAAGAGTAGGGGTCGTAGACTCCGGTGGTGTGGCCAACCTTTACGGGTTGTGGGATTGGGTAGGGATGGCAGCTCGCATGGGACCTGAGTCCCGTTAGTACTCATTCCCTCTGGGCAGGCCTGTGTCCAGAAAAGCTGGTAAATAATATAAATAAGAATCAGAAAAATTCACACTTTCATATTACGTTAAACAGCACCTAAAATTCTCGGCAAAAAATACTGGGTGAAGTAATTGTAATTTCAAAAAGACTCAAGTTCCCCTAGGATGGACCGAACAGGTACAAATTTTATAGTGCCGCTCGGGTGGACTAGCTCGAATGGTTCGTATGTTCCCTTCTAGTCCTTCCCCACTGCAATAATTCTTTTTTTCTGGTATGTAGTTAATTGTTCTCTTATGTAATTTAGCTAAGTTTTCTTTTTTGCAGTGAAAATGGAATAAATTAAAAAGATAAATAAACAAGAATGCATTATTTTCTAGAGGTCTAAAAGTATTTTGCCGGATATCCTAAAAGAGGGTGTGAATGGGGTTGACCGACTAGCGATAAACGGCAAAAAACATTACCGACTACCAACAAAGCGCGAAAAAAATTACCGACTACCAACAGGAAAATTATTAACCGATTACCGACATGGACCTACATTGAAAGAAGAGTATATTGTATTTTTCTACCTTTCTAGGAAGTAACCAAAGATGCCACGTCACAAGTCTTTTCACAAATATTCCACGAAACGAGGATATTGAAATCGGTTTGCAGAGCGTATGCCAAAAATTCCTACAACCGGCCTAGTCATACACATTAAATGCGAGAAATGATTAGATTAATCCTCAAAGAATTCTTTCCAGTTCAGTGGAAAGCTCTACCTACAAACCCACCGTACCGCGATGGGCACAAAGACAGCAGTTTCCTCTGCCAACATTTTCATGTCACATATTGAAACACAAAGTCTATAAGCTAAACCGTCTTTAGACCAGACATCGTAACTTTCTTCGAAGAAGCAAACTTACATGATCCTACTACCGTATTTATTCGATTAACCGCCCTGGGCGCTTATTAAATTTTTGGACCTTGAGAGTGGGCGCTTATTCGAGGTGGGCGCTTATTCGAGGCTGATCCTACTAAATGGTAATGACAAAACTCTAAATGTAACAAGGCACCTGTTAAATACTTTGAAGAAAACCGTGGAAATCTCTTATTAGTACTTATTCAATTTTTTGGGCTGGGGTGGGGTTGGTCGTTTTTGAGTTTGAGTGGGAGGGACAAGGCTGGGCGCTTATTAACTTTTTTCTGCCTTTAGGATGGGCGCTGTACTAATTCGAGGTTGGGCGCTTATTCGAATAAATACGGTATTAAATTCACCACCGAAATTCACTGAGACAATGTTTTTAGACAAAGTTGTATACAAAGGCACAAGATTAAACGAAAAAGTTATCCTTGATGTAAAGACTACGGAAACCTTCCAGCACACATTTTGCGGCTTGTCACTCACCGATTTGTCAAAAGAGTTTAAGGAAAGTGCTTCAAAATTCAAAAGAACGCTTGATGGTTGATGATGAACAGAGGCTACCAACACAATTTAAAAGACAAATTGCAATCAGAAATAAATGAAACTCACAGAAACCGAAGTCCGCGCTCCTGAAACAAAACCGAGCAAGGAAGGAAAAGAAATGTTGCCTTTCGCGACACAATACCAGGCCCTTAGTGTCTACTGTACAGTAAAAGAAGCTTTTATGGAAAAGGTGGAATCTCACACAAAACCAACCGCTACTTTGCTAATTTTTTAAAGAACCACCCCTTATTTCCTACAAGAAAGAAAAACCATGGTAAAGAACACGCTTGTTAGAGCCAAAATATTAAAGGTCAACACACGGTTTCACGCCCGTACAGATGTGCAACCTGTCACCCCTTGCAGTTTTTCACAAAAATAATTTACGTATCCAAAAGGTTAGAGTGGGCGTTTCCCTGTGTCCGATTAATCTCTCTTCATTACTTTTTATGGTGTCCTGTAATCAACAGGGAAACCAAGTTTGCATTTGCAAGAAAAGCTTTGGTGAAATACACTATCATGTTGCATAATGAAGTTTAAGTTCAATCAAATGATGCATTTTTACAATTTTTACATCTTTTATAGGGATCAAAGTCGTGAAACTGAGTGAAACGCATAATAAATATTAATAATTAACATGCATTTTTACTTATTAACTGAGATTGACCGACAACCGACAAAGATCGAAAATTTTAACCGACTACCGACAAAGTAACTAAATTTTAACCGACAAGCGACAAGTGGACCCCCCAATTCAGACCCTCCTAAAAGGGTTTTGAGGAAACCGTCGTTGGGCGCCCCGGCCTGTTTTCCTTCAAACGCTTGCCACTCGCGCCTGCTATGTTCTTGATCTGTAGAGAACCTACAGTTCTTTTGTTGGGAAGGACCCTAAACTGTGAAGTTGAGTCAACAGCACTAGATAAAAATTGCCTTCTTTGTAATTCTCAACATGGCGTAATGAAATAAAACTGAAGGATGACTGCTTCAGCGACCTCGCTTTAACATAGTGGCGACTCTGCCGTTGGTAACGATGACGTCCGAAATGAAGCAGTGCACCGGAAGGTGGAAACTGACGGAAAAGAGGATCTCAATCTGGGATTATCTTGAGAAGTTCGGCGCAAGTGGCAAGCGATCTGCGAAGTCTGCACAAGGAGAGCTGCTCTTTTGCGGGTCCTCTTGACGGATCGCGCAAAAAAGCGACTGCCAGTAGGAGAGAACCCTGGGAACGCGGTTGACTACCCCGCCAATCAAATATTGAAAATGGCGCGTTTTGGGCCTTCTCGTGCGCGGCTTCATGCTCCATTTTCGAGGGGATGGAGAGTTCGCTGCTGCATCAATTATTCTGTCCATGATTGTAGCTTGTCACGACTGCAATCTTTTGATCAATGGCGATGGTCGAAAGGATCGCGACGCGGCGCTAAGGACTCCAAGGGTAGGGTGTAGAGAGCAAGAGGACTCAACATAAGGATTTAGTTGATCTTCCGGGTAAGGGAAGAAAATTACTCACACGAGAACGGCATGGCCCTCTCTCCTCTTTCTTTCACACGGCACAGTACGAATTTTCGGCTGGCTGAAAAATTTGACCGGAACACTTCCTTCACGACGAACCTTTTAATATTTCCGCACTGTTCACACGGAGCTGACGAAAAAGGTTGAACTTTAACTTCTGACAGTGGTTTTGCCATCGGCCGGATACTGTCCATGCGCAGGGCGCTACTTTAGCAAATCCAAAATGGCGTCTCCAAGCTGAGTTACGCATTGATGCCACCACGCCTTTGCCGCACAAGAATTTTGTCGCTTATGGTGTTGACATCGCGCCGGTGAAATTTTCGATCGTACCGGCTAATAATTTAGCCTAGATTTTTGTGTTTAAAATTTTGAACTGCTAGGCGTCTAAATTCGTATGGTTAAGGTAGTTCCGTGTGACGAACGCATGAACGTATCCTCTGTTGATCATCCGAATAAGGCTGTAAAGATAAACTTCATACCAGCAGGCGTACGAGAAGGAAGGAAGAAATCGGGCGAGAACGCGATGGCCGTTTCTGGCTGTCGCACGCTAATTAAAATTGTCTCTTTCCTCTGTAAACAGGGTTCCGAGTAAAGGCCAAAGGCAACCGCATCAAAGGAACATAACTTAAGGCACACTTCCTCTTTATTATTTTTTCTTTCATAAAGTGATCATGCCCTTTCGTTCACATGTCGATTAAGATTAGAACAGGAAATTACACATCTCATTTCGTACCAAGATTTTCTTAAAAAGTGGAAAAATTAACTAAAATATCATGTAAAATTTACCTTTAAATTCGTATGACATAAACTAATCTAGGGAATTACATAATGTACGCTTGAAATGTCTAACGCAGAGGAAACAAAAAATGGACAGGGAAAGTTGCCAAAAGGACACAAGGTTGTCCTGTAATATGATGGATGTTTGACTGATATTTTGTGAAGATAAATACCTAAAACTGTAAGACGGAATAGAAATGATCGAAAATACGGAAAAAGTGAAATTCACTCAGTAAGGTATGATGAATAATATATACATTATCGCTTGTAGTACTCTAACGTTGTAAGTTGAACATAAATGAAAGTGATTCAGCACATACACGAACTTAAGTGACAACTTAAAACCATGTTTTTTCGTTCACTTAAGTTTATAAAAAGTTAAATACATTTTTGTCATGAATAAAAAGCGTTTCCAGGCCGTAAATGTTTCCTAGCTATGCTGTTGGTCATCTTGGAGACTCGAGTTCATCGAATACGTTTGAGTAAGATGATTTCAGAAAGGACACATAGTTTTGCATGCTTCGTGTTGTGCTGTTCGCCTGGTCCAATCTGTCCCTCATGTCGTATAACTTGGAATTGTATCGTCGCTCAGCCTGAAGTAAAAGATAACACTAGGATCAGGTACGGATATGGGGAGCATGCGTGATGTAGCCCGCGTGGGAGGCGTAAAAAGGCGAGGAGCGGAGGAGGGGAGAGGGAGAAATCCCCGACCCCTTTCGACGCCTCCTGCGCAAGTTATGGGTGATGGTAGCCTGGTTGCCAAGACTTTTCAAGGGTAGTTTCCGGTTTGGGCCGAAGATCTGTCGGCCTGCAGCTGACACCAAAGTATCTTGCCACATACACGTGTACACCACGAGCAGTCATCCTTCTTTCTTCAAAGGTCAGCGCGGCGAGCGAAAAAGTAAAATTATGCAAATTTGTGGTTAAATGGAAGAGAGGAGGTGAAGAGAAAAAGGGCGACGGCCCTCGTTCTCCTCAACTTTGCCGCTCACGTCAACGCGCTCTCGATTTTTTGTGACTCAAACGAAAAATAAGAGACTGCTCGCAGTCTATTAAACTCGAGAGAAAACCCTCTCGCAGCTGCCAGGTTAACGTGATGGGCGTATAAAGAACAACAAAAAGGAACATTACGTTCTGGGATGAACTCCGATCTCTTAGCTTAGACTCTTCTGTTTGGAAAAGCAGTGACAAAAGGCACCAGTGATTGGCAGGCTACTGCGACTGCGTATCAGATGTACCTGTACTTGCGTCATTACTGTATTACTAGTGCCAGATTACCTCGTCTTTACTTCTTTTGAGTTGTGTCGCTGTCGCAGTAGCACGACTCAGTTGAGCTTCCAGGTCTGTGATACGCGCCTGTGCAGCTCTCTCCTACGAAATCAAAGCAAAATGAGACGTAATTACAAGAAATACCAGTAGTATAGGAGGGATGAAATTATCCCCTCTTTTTGCGCAGGAATCTCATTAGCGTGCGCAGGAATACATTAACTAGGTGACGTCATAACCTTTTGTCTTGATCTCATGAATAAAATGCGCAGGAATGTCATTAACTTGCGCAGGAATCAATTAACGCCGATGACGTCATAACCTTTTGTCTTTATCTCATGAGTAAAATGCGCAGGAATCTCATTAAGATAAGGTCGTGTGCTATTTTTAGTTGGCTTAGGGTTTCTAGTTACTTTAAGGTCGATAAACGTCTTCGTTTTCTATTGGTTAGTAAGGAAATTTGAAACGTTGTCATTGGTTAATTCATAGTGTCTGAGGAGAAAAGTCAAACTTTTTGTGCGACTTAAAATCACTGAGACGTAACGTAATTATGCAAGTCCTATTTCCTGCTGCTGTGAATGTCCTAGTTCCGGTTCACTGATTTTTGGCGGGCAAATCGTGCATATTAATGAGGGAAAAGGCAAAATAGCTCTGTTTTACACTACAAACAATGTTTTACTTACCCCTCTCCTTTTCACAATTTTGTTATTTTCCTTCCTCAATTTTTCATTCCCATTTTTCCCTCCTCCACCTCATATTTATTGTTTTCCCTCCTCCTCCTCATTTCTATTGTTTTCCCTCGAAAGGCCAAAATCAGGCCTAAACGGCCTAAAAGGCTAAACTTGGAGGGAAAACAATAGAAATGAGGAGGAGGAGGAGGAGGGAAAACAATAAAAATGACGAGGAGGAGCAGGAGGAGGAGGGAAAACAATAGAAATGAGGAGGAGGAGGAGGAGGAGGGAAAACAATAAAAATGACGAGGAGGAGCAGGAGGGGGAGGGAAAACAATAGAAAAGAGGAGGAGGGAAAACAATAGAAATGACGAGGAGGAGCAGGAGGAGGAGGGAAAACAATAAAAATGACGAGGAGGAGCAGGAGGAGGAGGGAAAACAATAGAAAAGAGGAGGAGGAGCAGGAGGAGGAGGGAAAACAATAGAAATGACGAGGAGGAGGGAAAACAATAAAAATGACGAGGAGGAGCAGGAGGAGGAGGGAAAACAATAGAAATGACGAGGAGGAGCAGGAGGAGGAGGGAAAACAATAGAAATGAAGAGGAGGAGCAGGAGGAGGAGGGAAAACAATAGAAATGACGAGGAGGAGCAGGAGGAGGAGGGAAAACAATAGAAATGACGAGGAGGAGCAGGAGGAGGGAAAAATGGGAATGAAAAATTGAGGAAGGAAAATAACAAAATTGTGAAAAGGAGAGGGGTAAGTAAAACATTGTTTGCAGTGTAAAACAGAGCTATTTTGCCTTTTCCCTCATTAATATGCACGATTTGCCGGCCAAAAATCAGTGAACCGGAACTAGGACATTCACAGCAGCAGGAAATAGGACTTGCATAATTACGTTACGTCTCAGTGATTTTAAGTCGCACAAAAAGTTTGACTTTTCTCCTCAAACACTATGAATTAACCAATGAAAACGTTTCTAATTTCCTTACTAACCAATCGAAAACGAAGACGTGTATCGACCTTAAAGTAACTAGAAACCCTAAGCCAACTAAAAATAGCACACGACCTTATCTTAATGAGATTCCTGCGCATTTTACTCATGAGATAAAGACAAAAGGTTATGACGTCATCGGCGTTAATTGATTCCTGCGCAAGTTAATGACATTCCTGCGCATTTTATTCATGAGATCAAGACAAAAGGTTATGACGTCACCTAGTTAATGTATTCCTGCGCACGCTAATGAGATTCCTGCGCAAAAAAGGGGATAATTTCATCCCTCCTATACTACTAATACCTCCGAAAGAATTTCCGACATCACTTCGAGCCGGTCACTCCCTCAGCGACGTCTGAATCGACGAACCGTTAATGCCGTCCAGTGACGTCACTACTCCTCTGCTTTAATTCATGCAAAAAGTAAAACACGATTTTCAACTAGCAAAGAAAACAAAGTCTTCAGGAAATGTCTCCATGGTACAGAATTGCTTTATTCTCAAATCGTAATTCATGTTTAACGTTCAAACTGTTAACTGCATGCAGTACTCTGAACGAATTTGTTGCATGTATCTGATGTGTAGCGCCATAATTCAATATTCAATCACGCAATGAAATACACACACCTGACACGGAAAACTTCAAAACCACTGCAATTTTTCTTAAAACTGAAAAGAAGCTATTTGGTCCTCAACGACGAACAAAGAAAGCAAGAAAACAAGAATTAAAGGCTAACAGAATCATTACATTCTACGGAGGAAATGAGCGGCAGTTCGAATTTTAAATCTCGTAAAAATCGATCACTGATGCTTTGTATAAACGAAATTATTGCCGAAAACACAAAGCGACTCTAAATGAAAACCTACCGACTCTCTGCATTCACCATTGACTGTTCATTCGTAGTTCAATTTAACAAGTCATAGTTTCAAAGACAAGGGCAATTTTGCTGTTTACGATAAAGATTGCCATTTTTTTTTTAACTCCAAGCAAGCGCGGAAAATCAACAGTCGCGCTAAAATTGCTCATAAATATACATACAAAGATAATGCGAACGATTGGACAATCAACCAACCAAAATCACTACCCATTTTTCGGGTAGTGGCGTCACTGGACGCCTCGTCGATTCAGACGTCACTGAGGGAGTAGGCGACTCGAAGTGATCCGAAAGAGACAAAGTCAAGTGTTTGCATAGCCGGGAAGTGTCCCTTATTTGAAGGTAGAGTATGTATGAAGCTGGCTGTGTTTGGGACCAAGGAAACTGTCCTCAGTGGAGGTGTCTGTAATAGTGAGAGTTTCCACTTAATTGTGAGGAACATAAATATAACGGCTCAATTCAATAAGGGCCTGTTTACATGGAGGTAGGGGACCCCACATATGTGAGGTAACATGTGGCGGGTCACCTCACCTATCCTGTGAACGTGACTAAATTAAAATGAGAGATTATATACCTCACCTACATGGGGTCCCCCACCTCCATGTAAACAGGCCGTAAAAGAAACAATACAGAACACGGCAAATACAAAAGAAGACACAGATAGACAAATTTGAAAAAGATTTTAAAAAACACATCGTAATTGTGTTCTTTGAAAACTTGTTAGTCTAACAACTTTTCAAAGTTCATTTTTGTTGTTTGTAACGCCGGTTGGATTGATGTAATGCTCTGGGAAAGATATTTGTTTTGTAGGAAACTGTGATTTTGTCATTCACGAGTACACTCCTAAGCGAATCACGCCGTGACATCACAACCCTATTAAGGGCGTCTGCTTAATATGGGTCTTACTGTACCAGCATCTGTTTTCATTTCAATGGCAGGAAATTTTAGATTCCTCACTTCTTATAAGTGGAAAATAATTTTGTCACCTTGACGAGCGCTTTTTCCTTTTGACTGTCCACTTGTCTTCTAGCTTCGAGCACTGATGACTCCAGCTGTTGATTCAGCCTGATATTCTCCGCTCGAAGATCCTCAAATCTTTGCTATTAAATTCAAATCGACAACAAGCATTGACAATAGTGTACGATGTAAGTAGCCTGCGAAAACAGCCGCTTCTCAGGCTAACGTGATCTTTATCAAAACATAACAATAACATTGCTATACAAGAAAAAGCGCAAGAGCTTTCGCTATTGTGGAATACGGCTAACAGATCTTCAACAAAATACCTAAGAACTGTTCAAGTCTGGCCTCCTAGCTCAGGTCTGTTGAAGGCAAGATTATCTAGCCCGTAAATCGTGGGTTAGATTCATCAACATGTCAAGAATTAATTTATCTTCTCTTGGCTTGTCTGGGCGCGCACTAACACTATTCAAACATTTGGATGGAATTTTGTTTCAATTTGAGTGACTGACACTACATTCCATACGTCTAAAATCGATCGAACCTGTGATTGATATAAAGACTCCTCTTTCTTGCTGATCACACCAATAAGTTCCCTGTTCTGCTGATCAGAATCTGACAATTTCCTGGAAATAAAAAAAAAGAGGTGGGAGTTTTCCAACGGTTTGTTAGTACAAACATGGGGAATTAAGGTTCTTGGTCAACAAACCTCTCCAAGAGTTCGTTCTTTGCTTGAACGCTTCTAGTCTCGTCCTGCGCTGTTCTTACTTTTTCCCGTAGATGTTCTAATTGGTCTGTCTGCATCTCCACCTTAAGTGTGAACAAAGACATATCGGAGATTGAATATAACTTCCAGGGCTTAAACAACGAGTCCACAAAACCCGATTTCCCAGAGTCCATAATGCCCCTCTTTTCAAATGATATATCTCTTAAGAGAGGTTTATTTTCTTCAGTCCTTGAGGAACTAGTAGTGATCAAACACCAAATTCCTCCGGCATTATAATTGCCTAATCAATCTCAGAGGTTTTCTTCTTCCAATACTTCCAAATAAACAGACGGGAGAATCTTCATATTGACACCGTGCCCGTATACATGTTCATAACTAGAAGTTCAAGTAGCCACCATGGCATTGACAACTAGAAAGGCACACAAACAACAGAACTTCAGTCCAACCTCCTTAGCCTGTTTAAAGCCGCACCCTTCTCCCACCCCCCACCCCTTGAGGGGAGACGGCGGATCTACACCGGCTAACCTCCTCAATACAGACACCAGAGGGACACACTCATCTCACAGTATTCAATATCGAAGTAGTGGTTCGATGAAGTTTGGCCAGTAAGGAGGTGTCCGGAGAGAGGTATTATTAGACTGAAAGGAAAACACATGCGTTTTCTTTAATTTGGTACTGACAAATCTACAAGAATTTATATTCACTTTCTCTATGTTAACATTTCTTACAAATTCACTCCTTGGACAATTCAGTCTCGAAACATTACACACTGTACGAACAAGTTAAATAGGCCTTTCTGAGTTGCCTTGCCTCAAGTTTCATTTTCTAATTGACAGTTATTGCAATGATAATTGCGACGCCAAGTATTTGACAAGAAAATAATTTTATGTTCTCACTAAAAAAAAACTAATAATATTTTCACATGAGAGGCTTTTGCTCCCGTTGAACTTATTTAAGAAGTACAGGTCATTTTTGGGACTCAAAAGTGGCGTGTAATTGTACATTTTTCTTCTTTTACGGAAGACAAATCAAGGTGGGAGTTAAACACGAATCACCTAAGAATGGGCAAAGTCGCGTAGACTCTTCAAGTAACATAGTGGCAAAAGAGTTCCACCATTCTACTGAAGGACACTGGCTCGATTCCCGTTGGGGACTCCTCAGATTAATTTCTTTGCTTCGAGCTCGCGACAAACTTCAGATTCTATTTTTATTTTCTCATCTGCGCCGGGTTGACAAAAACCTTGTTTCAAATCTCCGCTTCCTATAACCACTCTCCTAAGCGACCTGCTCCATCTGCCGACACTCCCTGCTTGACAAGGTGGTCCCCAAATAGTTAGGGGAGGCACGACTGTATTAAGTAAATAATTAACATGATCAAACAGTAATCGCAACAGGAGAATATTCAGTAGACCACCTAAGCTTTCCGGCAGAGAGGAAAAGTCAGCTTGGCGGAGCATGGAAACGAAACATGCGACAAACTAGACTCTAACAAGAGCGATCACGACTTCAGAATCAAAACATTTTGTACCTTCTGTGTCAGCTCAGATATAAGCTTAGTCTGCTCGTTGGAGCGTCTATCATACGCCATCATCCTCTCTTGAGATTCTTGCAGTCGAACGTCCGTTGTCTAGCAAAATAGAAAAAAGTCTCCCTAGTTAGTTACCAAGTACAGGATCGGGAGGAAGGAAAAAGGGCAGGGATTGGGGAGAAAGGTTCCCTTTCGCGCCTTTATCACTCTACCCCCTCCCCCTAATCTTTTTGCGCCTGCCACGCAGGCTAGTTCCCAATAACTCAAGCCGCCTAAAGAATGTTCAAGTTTTTTCTTTATACATTTCTGTAACGGCTTCAAACAGCAAGAAATAAATCCTTTTCTTGTGATGTTGGAAACTAGAATACAAACTACGTTTCGGTCAATGAGTTGCAAAAAGAGAAGGAAAGAGGATGCGTACAGGGAAGCACTGAGCGAAACTTTTGAGTCTCTAATGAAGTAAACGGAAAATCAGTATGTTATCTAAATAGCGAGTCATAATCTACGCGAGGCAATCAGACAGCTGAAAAAAACTCGTCAGTCCAATGAGAATTGTCACATGTCGCATACATGTAGCTATGCAAACAAACTGAAGAAATTGGCTTGTGCAATCATAAAGGGATATTCGCCATGTGCTTTCTCCTCTGTAGCGGCCTCTTTGTGTCCCAGGGGGCTGGGGAGAGGGAAAAAAGAAAGCGCGCGGGGAACGATGGACACGCTTTCGGTGCGGGAGCCCATGCGGAGGAGAGAGCTCGCCATGTCATTTCCAGGCGCGTCGAGACGAACATCACCTGCGATTATTCAGTTTTAAATTTTTTACCCAAAGTAAAGTAAAAATATTAGTAAAATCCAACTAGTGGTCCATTATCAACGCTGTGTTCTGATTGGTTGAGCTACTACTAGGCTATATGTTATAGCCCACTAGGTAGCGAAAAGCGCCGGCTTTGAAAACCAAAACAATGGCGGTTGAATCGCGTTTTGCAAGCCAAAGTTGTTGTCTCGATATTTTTAACCAACTAGTTGGATCTTACTAAAACAATTATTCCTCTCGTCCTCATGGCCTCTGAGTGAACAGCGCAATCGGGCTTCGGCCTCATGGGCTATTGTCTCAGAGCCCATTCTGGCTCGAGGAATAATTGTTAAATATCCTCATGGCGAGTTAAAAACAAAAAGTTACCTTCAGTAGATCCGCAAGGGGTTCGAGCTCTTGAAGCCTTTGCTGCATTTTCAGCTTAACCTGAAATAAAATATAAGTATAAGCTTATACGTATTAATAGTGCATGTGAACAGAAACTTACATCCTTCCCCGCTCCTGTCCCAAGCAATATCTTGTCTGTGAGTCATTCAAACATGTACACTTGTGATTTTTACCTTTTCGTTCTCCAGAGCATTTTCCTGTTGCATTCGTTGTGTATCCGCTTCGTACTCATACAGTCTATTTTTCATTTCTTCAGCTTCCCTACGATACTTGTCGATCTGTTGACAAATAACAATATCGTAAATCCTCTATAAAGCCCCCTGCGCCCTTTTCTGCTACACAGCCGTTTTTAGTGTCGTCACGCAACGGGGAGGGATGTTGCAAGACGACACTAAAAACGGCTGTGTAGCAAACTACCTGGGCCCCTGGACTTATTTATTTCAAGCACGTTTGATGGGGAAGGAGGGGCTTGTTTAATTTAGCGAAGATAACGGTATCGATTCTCTACGAAGAACTTGAACGCAAAGTGGTAGAAGAGCCCAGGCAAATGAAGTTGGAAGTCATGGAGTCGAAGGTTAACAAATATATCTGAACTTCCAGCACATGAATTCATCATATCCGATCAGTCTGCACGAAGGGAGGGAGCGAAGGGGGCGGGGCGGGAGCAGAGGATGCGTCTCATATTGGCGTTCCTCATTTGACCCACGGTAAAAATCGAGAACTTTCGACGCTCTTTTTAAAAGCTGGTGCGACGTTTTAGCTGGTGCCGTCGAAAATGACCGGCGCGGTGTGAACACCTGACCTCGATCGTCTGCATACTTGTACGTCAGAGGCGTGGTTGCATGGATGCCTGGTAATTTACCTACAGGACGCCGCGTGCTCTCACGTCTGCACTCTTCAACGCTGTGACGTGTAGTGATAGCGAATAAGATGAAGCAGCCTTAATTCAGGCCGGCTGTTGCGTTTCAAACTTCATGTCATATCGATAGCAAGAAGTCGTGTTCTGAGACAGGCGAGGAGAAGGGACATTTTCCTTTAAAAGGAGATTGGTTGCAACAAGCACCATTTTAGAACTTCCAAGAGTTTGGAAGGTTTCTTGTTTTACAATTTTAACGTTTGCTTGTTGCAACAACGCGATGCCTGCGTATATGAGTGGAAGATTCCAATTAACTGCTGCATTCTCATTCACAACAAAACAAAACAAAAAATAAAAACAAAACGACGCCAAAAACAAAAACAAAAACAAAACAAAAAAGAATAACTTGGTAATTATCATCCAAACTACTCTATCTTTAATACCTCACTCCCTGCATATTACAGATTACTGGACTATCTCGCTATCTACCCTACCTGTACTTTATACTCGCGAATAATATCTTCGTCCTCCTTAACAGCTACGTGGAGCTGAGCAATTTCAGCTTGGCTGTACGTAAACTGAATAAGTATGACAAGATCAGAAACAGAAATACAGTCGAACACCAAGTAAGTGACCACCCAGAACACGAAAACTTACTGGTCGCTTACGATAATTATTATGCACTTTAAGATCCAACGACGCAACAGAAAAGAGAACGTCGCTTTAAAAGTGAATTTGTGTTCTTTTAGTCTACATCGCTATTATTCCTACTCACTCGCTTTGTCAAATGTACGCGAACCCTCCTGAATTTGAATTCCAAGAGACCATATTCAAGTTCAGAAAGCGAGGTAAACTTTCGTCGTTCCTTGTTTGCGTTCCCCAAGCATAAAACACGAAATTAGGCATTTTCACGTCGTAGTAGTGCAAAAACGGCAAAGAAATGTACAAAAAATCATGATGCACGTGCAAAGTTGTTGTTTTGCTTATTAAAGTCATTGTTTTTTTTACACGTTCTCGTTGCAGTCGCGTTGTTGAATCTTAAAGTCCCTAACAAACGGTCTCCTCCTAGAAGAGTTCTAAACACATCTACATTTTGGAAGAGAATTCAAAGCATGCAATTTGTAAGTTACAATACTTGTAAAAGTTCTCTCGTAGGACTTTCAGCCAACAAAGAGATCAAACCATACTCCAAGTGGTCGCTTACAAGAGGGTGAAAACAATGGAAAATTGGACATGAACGTGGTAGCGGTCGCTTACGGTAGGTTCCAACCGTTGTGCTTGACTGAAACAAATTTGGTTTTGGAGAGTTGGTCGTATATGGGAGATGGTAGCTTACAATGGAAATTCGACTCTCTTTCAGTAAAAGAGCATATTAAAGGGTGTGGCCGAATAGCCTTCCAAATTCACCGAGCATTTTTCCGCTAAAACACGATCTCGTATCATTTTAAGGTGGTATTTCCAGCCATAAAAACAAATGAAGACAATTAGCACATTAGACAGCACATGGAGTCCTGTATGTGCATAACTCGGCGCCCGGTTGGTAGACTGGGGACTAGTTTAACCTTTTATCGCTATACCCACCCTTGTTCTGTGGTTCTCCAACAAATGATTTGAATGATTGACGTTTGCCTTCAAGTTATTTATTTCCGCCTCGTAACTTACTATCTGCCAGATAAATCCAAGGGACGTTAGCTCCCTCAATTGCCTACATTTAACAGACTTCCTCATTATTGTAACTATTCTAAAACGACTTATTCTAAAACTTAATGGTCGGCATAAACATAAAAATCTACAAAAGGAGAGTCGATCATTACTTAGTAAGCAATGTGATTTGTGTTGTCTTAGTAATGATTACTAGGCCAAAACAAATCAACTTCCTCACGAGACGACCAATAATCTCGATTTAAATATTTCATTAGGCATCCTGTGCTTTAATACTCAGTTATATTGAATTCGCTGAGCTGTTCTGAGTGAACAAACATAGTTGGAGCGTGGATTCGTATGATTAGAGGATTCCTCTTACCACATAATAGATCATACTTTTGTCTTGTTGTCTGTTCGTTTCTTTTGATGGTAATTTTCCTAAGGTTTTGCTTCTCATAATGTGAACCGGCAGGGAAATATGAGCAAATATCACTTCAATAATATAGCATATAATGTTGTCTTTACTGGCTAAGTACTTCTGTCTGAGTGGTGCCTCCTGTTGCCTGTATTATCTACATGTCATCTACCTGGTTCTTGTATTCATGAAGCATAACTTCGTACTCCCCGGAGCAAACTTTCAGATTTTTAATTTCATCTTTGTCAGATCGATGCTGTACAGTGACATTAAAAAAGAGCAAAACAGATTTGATGGCATGCAATACTAACGAAATCAATAAACCGTTAACACCCCTCTCCCCAAAAATGGGTGTTCGCATTTGAATTTTTGTATAGCTCACGTGATCATTCCCGCTTGGTCACGTGACTTCCTTTCCCTTGTGTCTTGCAGACCTTGTAGAAAGGCAAACTCTGTTGAAACATCATAATCAGTGACCTCGTATCTTCTTCTTACAGTCGACTTCCGATAACTAAATTGTCAGACTGAAGAACAAGTTCTTTTTTTTCAATTTGCCACGCGCTTAAAACATGGTTCGAGTTATCGAGGGTAAAATTATATAAAAATGATCTGAAGGGGAACAAAAATTACTTTGAGTTAGAGGGAGGTTTGAATTACCGAGGATAAAATTACAGTAAATGTATGAAGGAAATCTAGGGGAAATCGACTTTGGTTCGAGTTAACAAGGGTTTGAGTTATCGGGAGTCGACTGTATTTGCTACGCTGAAAAGTTCTTCGCAAAGCATTCATGATCATTTCTACAGCTAACCGTTGATATTGCTTTGCTAAAAGTGGCGGAAAGTCGGATAGCCAAACGAAACGCTCGGAATGGTCACGTGAGCTACGCAAACAATTACTGTAAATGCGAACGTTTTTTTCGGGGTGCTAAAAGTTTAGGGATTTCGAAACAGCCATAAACTTATGATAAATAAACAATAAATCAGTAAGGCGTCTGTTAAACCTTCTTTTCGACGCAAGATATGTTTCCACGTACATTTCTATTTATTCAAAGGACAATTTAGAGTTGCGCAGCTGGATAAAACAGAGGGAACACTTAAACAATCCATGGAAACGCAAAACTCTGATTTATTTAGAAGCAAACACATCGCATTCACTCTCAAGAAAAGTACGGCATGAACTGATAATACATCTAACTGTTCAGCGGTTTGAATACCGGCTTTTTACTCGAACCATCTACCTGTTTTCTAAGCTGCTCTATCTTCGCTTGGTACTCGCTGACGCTATCGTGAAGATGACTAACTTCTGTTTCTGATGTGTTCACCTAACCGTGATAAAGATACATGCACACGTTACAAAGAAATCTGACTCCTCACTTGCGGGCACTAGGGTCAGCGGCGGATGTTATAAGCCGTTGGGAAATGGTTGCGAGTCTGCACCACTTTGTGTTCCCGCTAAAAAGCTTAGAAGTTGCTAATGTGCAGAAAATGTACTTCAACTATAGATAAGTGACGATCAAGACGGATTTGACACTAAGGACCATAGCCTTGAGAGGAAAAAAAATCACATTCTCTAAAAACGGTGAAAAATAAACAACTGCACTTTGCAAAAACTTTCTTTAGAACACTGAGCTGGGCAAAAATGCATATTATGCAACTAGAAGCAAGTTCTGAGCGAAAAAGTTGTTCATTACTGTACCTTAAATTTGTACTGCTCCACCATTTCATCATAATGCTTCATGTTTGTTAATAAATCTGTGACCTTTTCTTGAGCCGCTTTGACCTGTCACATGCATGACAACTGACTCACTAACAAGCTAACTACACTGGCACTAGCTATCCCTTCTAATGATTACAAGTGTGCACCTAATTAAAACTATTTCTGACCCACCTAGTCATCTTTTTCTTCTTCATTGCCCTCAGAGCCATTATTCAGCCCCACTGAAGTCAAGTCGATTAATCGAATTCTCGATTAATCGCGATTATGACCGTTCGGTTCGATTCACGATTCGTTGCTTCCATTTTTGCATACCTTTTCCAGGGTGCCCTCAGTGAGTTATTATAATGTAAAATCACAATCCAGAACCCTTTAAAATGTCCGTTTTTGATTGACGAGCAAAGACGATAGGAGTTCGTGCGCCATTTTGTATTGCCTGGTAAAAATGCTGTCCTTCAACCACCCCTTGAGAATTTCCAAATAAGGCAAACCATCTTTGTCAGGTTCTCAAACATGGCGACGAACCAAGCGACTGTGAATCCTCCTGTCCCTGTTACTATTCTCAAATTGAGGGTTTAGGGTTGCATGTTGTTAACATTACACGTTATGTTATAAGAATTAAGAAACATTTACATAATCGAAATCGAAAGACAATAATTGAAATCGAATTGAATCGCAAGGAATATGAATCGTTACACCCCTATCAAATTTGTGACATCAGTCGAAGCTCGTAAAAAATTAGACCTCACTCATATCAATGTTTGCAGGAATGTATCATAATGAACAAAAACGTTTGAATTCTGAGTTAGATTTCTCTAAATTCGTTTAAATTATCTTAATTCGGAGTTGTATATTTTCAAAGAACACCCAGTAATACAAGCAGGGATAGTAAAAGCAATACACTAGCAAGCTGCTGTTCCGTTTAACCTCGTTCCCAGGGCTTCTCGGTTGCTGTGCATTTATCTGGCGATAGTCTGGACTATTGACATCATTTTATCAGACATCGCAAAACTTCTACCTAATTTGGTCCATGTTAGCTGGTTATGGAGAATTAATGGAAGGATTTGAGCCAATTAGAAACGGAGAAATATTTTGAATGAATAGTAAATCAAAAGATGCTACATCGACAAAATTGTCAAATCACTGCTTTTAATAATCCTTTAAACCAAAGCCTAACAATTCAGCCTCTTTTTTGAAGCGGTTTATGATGAAAAACAAAATGAAAAGCAAATTATCCCTGCTTTGCGTGCTTTTCTTCTTGTTTAAGACGGCGACAGGAAAGCGAACAAACACGTATGTAGTTATTTGTCACTTGTCAGTTATACAAACCTGTGTGCTCGCGAGTATAACACGTTGTCGGCAAAGCTTTGATTGTGTTTCTTATCATCGTCGGTAAATGTCTCGTTGCAGCCCATGCCATTTGGCGATGCACCATCCGAAAACACCGAAAACCTACCTCGAAAAATTCAAAGCAGCGGACAATATTTTCAGCAGGGTCTTACCTTGCTAGAGGCCCTTTGTTCTTCATCGTGAAGCCGCTCTTCTAATGCAGCGATGTCAGCCTTTAAAAAAGAGATACTTGTGAGAACAAGATTGATAGGAGACGCCACATTTTTTGGCGAGATCGTATCTCTCGTTACTTTGCTGTACAAACACGATGTAAACAGTAACAGCAACAGCAACAGCAACAAAAAACTTCAAAGCCTGCCCTTTCCTTGATGCTTTCAGAAGATCACAAATGATCGATTTTTGACTTTTTTTTTGCTAAGAAGCAAGTGAACCAACGCTTGTAGCCGTTGTGGCCATCGTTTAAGTTAATAAAACTAGAAGTCAAGATAGCGGCAAACCAAGTAACTTTCACCACTTGCTCCATTTTAAACCATTTTAATTTTATTGTTTTAATCATTTTCAGTTGAACCAAGCGATTATTCTTCCCCCTTTTCTTCCATTTCCCGCACGAAACCAACCAGTGCAAGATATTACGGTATTTATTCGATTAACCGCCGCCGCCTTTATTAAATTTTTAGCTTTTCCAATGCGGTGTTTATTCGTGATCAAAATTTAGTTTGTTTTTTTTTTTCAAATCAGTAAATCGTTTGTAAATAACGCGTTCCAATGTAAGATCTTATTTTGCTGAGATTGAATCGTAAATGTCTAGATGGTGTAACTGAAAGAAAAAAAACCGTCGTATTTTTTTTCTCTCCCCAGTCTCGCTCTCTGTTTTCTTCCTCATTCCAGACCTTTTGTTTGACTGCTCGCGCGTACAACGAATACGGAAAAATACGGACTGTTTTGCAGGTCTAATGCAATCGTTTAATTTCAAAATCACGTTTTAAATCGCCAGTGACAATCGGTTTAAACCCCGGGTCGTTTGTAAACGTTAACTGTTATTCTACAAATAAATTTAAATCGTTTAATGTCTGAAAAACTGACTGGTTCAAAATATCTCGAACGTGCAAGTTGTACTGAGGTTTTTCTATTTATCCTCTCGAGGTATCTCGAAGCAATTCCGGTCTCACTTCGTGAGCAACTTTGCGACATTCTTGAGCGTCGCGAATCCTTTACTTGGCCCTCCGCCCAAGTAATGAGCTCTCGTTAGCGACTGCATGGTAAAACAATAGAGGGTGGCCCGCTTACGTGAGCTTCAGAAACTCATTAATAATTCATAAAGAAAAAAACACGGCTACACTTTAGGTCCAATTTTTAAATACTGGTGCAAGAATGAGTTGAGTGGTCGCTTACGAGAGCCTAAAAACAAAAGAAAAGTCCAGTTGGGTAATACCAAAAGTGATCGCGGTCCCAGTTAAAGTTACAGTTCAAACGGGGTTTCACAAAGGTGGTCGTAACTAGAGCTGGTCGTTTACGAGAGTGGTCGCAAGGAGAGCTTCGACTGTACCTTGCTAAAACGCAGTTTTAATCTGAATAAAGACTGACTGTGACAAGATTTTGTCTCTTTCTTATAGGCATTGTTAATGACACATTAACTTGGTTTTCTGGCGGATTCAAAGTTGCGGCTCAGTGTTCCAGAAGGATAGGTTACCTTCCTATTTACTTACTTTGAGTTGTTCATTTTCCAGTCTGAGAGTGTTAACCTCTTGAGTTCTTGTACTCAGTTTAGCAGTTAAGGTCTCGCTGTTACTCTGAAACCAACAAACAAAGGTAAACGTTGATCAGTTCTTGCCAACAGATTTCCCTTGAAGCAGCTATAAATTAAATGTGGATCTGTTTCCGTTACTGCGGCTCATGGGTTGACTATTCCAGCAAGTCTTAGAGCAAATGACTGTTCACAGCCATTCTATTCTCATTACACAAAATTCAAGGAAAGTAGCAATTGGCAAGCGAAACAAGAGTGAGCGCGAAGTTCGGGGTAGGAGAAGACAGTGGGTGAGCCAGAAAATGGAATTTTTTCTCGCTTCCGACTCCATTTAATCGTGTTAAGCATTCACACAATTTTTTTTTTTTTAAATGACCACTTAGTTACTTTATCTCTAGAATAAATATAGACTAATGCCCAGTGTTGAAAAGGAAACAGTTGTCGGGGACGCCTTCAAAGTATGGACTAGTAAAAAATTATAATCATGTTGGTATTCTAAGTCCTTATTGGTAGATCCAAGTTTCTCCCGCTCCTATTACGAAGTATGAAAACCCCCTATTTTCCTTTTTTCAAAATTTATGTTTCTACAACTTACATAAACAACAAAAAATCTCACTGCACGTTCTATTTCCGAGCAGCTATATCGATCAGTTTTAATAAGATGGAAACAGATGACTCTGGCTGGTAACACTGGTTAAAAATCAACTTTCGTCTGCTCGCTGTCCATGTGGTCAAAGTGTTGCGCTAGTTTCTGACGTTGTACCTGTTCCATCTGACATGTCGATGTTCTGCCGTCGTCAGTATAGTCATTTTTTTTATCGGTTATTTCCTTCAAGTAGGATTCCAGAGTTAAGCCAAAGTTCAGCTGGGCAAACGTTAACTGTTGCTTATACATCTTCGTAAGGGGTTTAAGAAGGGTTTACAAACGGAGGTGCTTTTATTCGAGGGGGTTTATAACCGTAATAGAAAAGGCGCTTCGAAACAAGCTATCGGCAGTGATATGTGGGGATATGAGCGGCAGTTTAGAGTATAATGATAAAGCCGAATTAGCCTCGCTCAATGGCTGTATAGTAGCCTGATCATGTTACCTGGGAAGCTTTTTCTGTGGTCTCCACTAATTCATGAAGTTCCTTCATGCGACTGACAGATAAAGAAAACAGTGATTATGGACTGTAACACAATGACACTCGGGAAGGGTCGGGGGGAGAAATTAGAGTCCGTATCGGCAACCTCGTTCCCATACATTGGATGGATAGAAAGAAAGAGCCTGGGGATGAGGCTGAGCACGTTGTTGTTGAGGCTTTTTCAAGAATGATACAAAATGGACAAGGTTCCTTGGTACCTACAACTTTGTTGGTTCATTTACCTTTTTAATGTTCTAATTTCCAGATCAGCGTCGCCTTTTTCTTCTTTTAAACTTGCTTCTGCTCTCCTGGTCTCACTCAGCGCGATATCCTAAAAATACGAAAATATTTAGAAATTTTGTTGCAAGAGAAACCCTCTAAGCTGAACTTTGTCGCCACTCTTTAACCAGCCGAATACCGTACCTTTTCAGCTAACTTTTCTTGTAAAACTTCTAAATCCTTTTCTCTCTCACTCACACGGTCTTTCTGTACCCTGTAAAAAGTATGTCAACAATTTTGCTCAGTTGTAGCACACGGTAGAAACCTAAGTGTTATTTCAAAACGCAAGAAATTGAATAGAATCCAAGTCTTTTACCACCCTACAAGCAAAGCCTTTCTTTCGCTTGCTAGAATTCGGCAGTAAAGAAAAACACAAAAGTAGGCTTAGCCTGAGAAAACAGCCGACATTTGCCGACGCTACCATTGGTTTCCCCTCCAAATGACGTCTGAGAAACGAGCGCAGAAATTCCATACTGATGACGCGTCACTACCCAGATTTGGGTAGTGCTTCTGATTGGTCGTGTCGCACGAGAAATTTGATTCAACCAATCAGAAGCACTAGCCAGATCTGGGTAGTGACGCGTCATCGGTATGGAATTTCTGCGCTCGTTTCTCAGATGTCATTTGGAGGGGAAACCAATGGTAGCGTCGCCAAATGTCGGCTGTTTTCTCAGACTAAAGGAGGTTCTGTTTGCTCGCAGGGTGGTCTTTTACATTCACCGCGTATTTTTTTCCCGGCGAACGGCAGAGAGGGTCACAAGACCTGATTTTTCCTTCGTGTGTCGGCCGCCGCTTCAGCGCAAGAAGGATAACGACCATTTCTTGTTTTTATCGAGCTATGTTTCGTTTATCATCCTTCTTCTACAGGTACTGTTTGTAAAGCTAAAAGAGTTTGAAATTCGAGCGAAAAAAGATGACAACTTCTCTGTATATTTTGTCCAGTCACTATGAATGGCGACCGAGAACACTTGCCGAGTATCATACGTGTTTTACTTAGTTTCAAACAAAAATTAAGAAATATGAAAACATTTAGTTTAATACCTAAAAAAGTAGCTAATTTTCAAATATTCTAGACAATTTTTGTACATAGTTTCCAGTTCTGTCGACGGGAAGCTTACAACAAACGGCTTGCTGACGTTCGCCGCTGGCGTGGTGCTTTATCTAACTAGTAAGCCTTTTTAGTCTGCTCCCTTTCAATTACCTTGCAGCTTTCTTGAGAGCGTCTTTTTCTCTGCCGTTTTTTTCCTGAGGAGAAGCAAGATGCGATGAAAGTAGAATATAAACGAGATATTGTTGCAAAAGAAACCAATTTGCATATTTATTAGCATTTTCTCGGTTTAAATCGCTTATTGATTTCTACGCTGTACCAGAGCCGTAAAACCAAGTTTTACGTAATACAATTTTTCCTTGAATGAGCGAGTACGAAAAGGTTCCAGAATGCTGGGGGAGTAAAGCTAACGAAACACGTCACGTCTGTCACGTGTAGCATGTAATTTAGAAAGAGACGTGAAGAAACAATGACTGTTCTGTAGCAGACACAGAAAGGACCTCTCTTCAGTGAGTCTTGTAATGAGCTATTGCCAATTTAGCCACTTGTACAAAAATTTAATGAGTTAAAATGAAGAAGAGAAGGGAGGGAGAGAGAGAAAAAAAACTAGGGCAAAACAAATATACGTATTATATAGCTACCCTTTGTGCGGCGATTAAACCCTGCATATGTTCCAATTCTAATCTTCCATGTTCATATTGATCTTCAAGGCTCTAGAAAAAAAGAAGAAGAAAAAAAATACATAAGGGAAGTGTAACCTACGCATACAGCCACCTCTCAAACTTTCTTCATTGCCTTCCGCTACGGGCGAGAAATGCAGGCTAAGATAAAATATGATTCCAAGCAAAATCTCGACTCGATAACAGGTATTTCGTAGCCTGCTAGCAAGCTCTCCATTTTGAGTGTCGGGCGAAGCAAGCCGCAAGAGAACGCCATATTGCGCTTCTTCGTCTCTTCTCGTGTCCCGGGCGCGCGTGACTTCTGGCGATATCCCCCAATGAAGAGCTTGTTCGTAGGCCAGTATTTCAGAATACGGGAACAACACTTTATTTCTAATACCATCTTCAATTCTGCTATCGAAGAATAAAAAAGCTATATTAGAGAAATCCTTACCCTAATCTGTACCGACAGTCTGCCACACTCCATTTCCTTAGAACGGAGTTGGTTTTGAAGATGGGCTCGCGTTGTTTCCATGGTTTTCTTGAGGTCTTCAAACGCAACGGCTTGATCCTGTAACGTAGACCAAACAAAACAAATAAACAAAAGATAATGTATGAGTTCTTACTCTCTACCTTCCAAAGTGTGTTTGCTATCTCTTTAGAATTGTTCTGTCTTAACCCGGCATTTTCGGGAAAACTCTCTTTAAACTGAAGATAAGGTACACGTTGAGTGTTGTTATAATTTTACACTGACCAGGCTAAGTTCTCATTATACCGGATAGCTTTCGCGCCGGCAGGAAAACCATACTGGATACGGCTTCTGTTCACACATAAAAAGGTGATTTTGGCGCGGTTTTAGGAACGGTGCGCCGCGTAGATCTCTATAGTGAAGAGTCATACATCGATCGGTGTTCACACGACACCGGCTAGCTTGTCGTGTTGGTACGAAAAGGTATCCGATTTTGGTATAGTGTCAACAATGGCTAAGATGTCTAGAATCACACCAACCTTATCAGCTTCTACTTGTGCCAGTAACGTTTCTATTTGTCTGTCTCTCTCAGTCACTTCCACCTGCAAACGCTAAGAAAAAAAGGAGACTAATTGCGAATGCCGCTTACTGTTACGTCAAGATGTCGTGGAAGGTAATAGGGACGTTACGATGCGACGACGGCGACGGCAACGAGAACTTTACTTCAGAAAAAGGAATAGTTTTATAATAGGTCTGCACGTGCTGCAAACTTTTTTGTACATTTCGTTGCTGTCACTGCACGACTAAGACGGGAAAATGCCTGATTTCACCTTTTGTGGAAGACCTAAACAAGCAATGTCGAAATTGTCTTTCTCTTTCTCAACTTGGATATGGTTCCTGGGAATTCAACTCCAGGAGAAAAATCGCGATGAAGATTGAAAGAAGGCGAATTCACTTTTCAAGCAACTTTTTCGGTGCCGCCGCTGTCCTCTGATCTTCTTATACCTGACAACACCCACAGACCCAGGACTCCTCGTATGGATCTCGTATGGTCAAGTGGCCACCCAAAACGGTTGGCGGTTGACGGTTGACGGTTGTCAGTCGGTAGAGCGCTTAACTGGAGAGCGGGAGATCGCGGATTCGATTACCGAGGCCGGGAGCATTCTCAGGTTCTTAAAATAACTGAGAAATTTACCTCATTACTAGTGTCGGACTGTGTTAGTCTCTTAAGCAACACTTCTTGTTGTTTTCGTAAGTGATCGTGTTCTTCCTGTTGAGCAAGAAAGAAAACAGCAAGTTCTTTTAGCCATTTTTAATTAAACAGCTCAATAGACTTTTAATCAGGAGATACGTACAGTATACTGCATGAAAAAGGGTGATTACCACAATAGATAGTTACGTTGGAAAAAAATCAAATTCCCGTCGTTTGAAAATCAAATTCTTTACGTTTTATGCCATCAATTCCGTTGAGGAGCCCCCCGCCGGAAAAATCCTTGGATGAAATTCCCGGAGGGGGACGGTCGTTTGAATCGATGCAATATCTATCCTCCGTCAACAGATTGTCCAGGCCAGCTGCCATTTAAAGGTTTTTGTTTCAAAACGTCTTCCTTTGTTATTCTAATTAAGACTTCACGGCGACGACATCACATGGTTTTTCATTAACAACCTGAAGAATGTTTAAATAGAAAAATGGTAGGCAAAAAATCAACAGAAATTTGATTCAATAACCTGAAAACGTTGATTCTATCGATAGTGGATTTCGCGATCTGTATTCTGTAACGATGGTTTTCGCCCAGAATTTATTCTTCAGTCACTGAAATCAGGTTTATTAAACCGCGTGCGTTAAAAGCTCGGGAATGGACCGGTTCCAAATGCGAAGGCAGTCAAAATTACCCCGGGAGACAAGGCACAAAGACGGAAAGGACAAAAAAATGGCGAGAACAGCGAAAAACCTGAAGAAGGTTTAAAAAAAAGAAAAAAAAAAATTCCTCTCCTGGTGGAACTCCTGTAACGATTTTTCGTCCAACTTCAGTCACAACAAACGCCTGTTCAACGGCTTCAGATGGCACAAAGACGAAAAGGACAAAAAAAAATAGCGAGAACAGCGAAAACAGCAAGGGAACTCCACTTTGCAACTGTCATAACAAACGCCTGCAACGGCTTCACAACCAAAAGGAAGATGAAAAAGTAACCAACACACAGAAAAAAGCAAACGCAGAATACAACAACGACGCAGACTACAAAAGCCTCAGCGCGAATTATAAAGGATCAAGTTGCTCTGCAATACCTCTGTAGCCTGTTGTTCTCTAAGTAGTCTTCGTAACGCTTTGTTAGTTCTTTCAAACTCGTCTAACTTCTGAAGCAACATTTCTCTTTGTCTTGTCAACAGCGTAGTATCAGCAGCTGACATGCGTTTGTCCTGGTTGGAAAAAGAAGAACGACTTTCGTGCCTAAGAAATCGTTAGTTTTGTGTAAAATTAAGGCAGTATTGATCATGTTAGAAGTTCTGTTCAGGCAATGCTAACTAGCTTTACCTCCTTTAACTTTCGAATAGTGTCTCTTAGTTTTATTAGTTGTTCGCCAGCTGCCTTGCCATCCATTTCCACCTCTACTAGTTTCTTCAAGAGTGAAGCTCTCTCTCCAGCTAATTTACCCACTTCCGTCCTGCAAGGTGACGCAGTAAGCAAAATGGTGAAAAAAAGTCAACTCAGATGTGGAAAATTCTCTTAAGAACTACATATTGTATCGTATCAGCATGGTAGACGATTTTGCAAAAAACGCTTGAAAATAGTTGCACTGCACAGGTTACCTACTATTTTACAGGAACCCCTAGCATAAAACAATTCAGGGTTGTCACTAAGATTTCAAGTTGCCGGGTAAATACAACAAGTAGCACAAACGGCTGCACAGGTTGTATTTTTCTTCTATTTTAATAAAAGGAACCCTGGCACAAAATCCCAAATGACACCCTGACACAGAAAGTATGTTACATGTTCTTGCAGATTGCAGATTTTGACACATGTCACCAACCTTGATACATTGGCATCTTCTTTCCATTTCTCTATTGAATGTCGTAAAGCCTCATTTTCCTTGACAGTAGCTTTCAATTCTTGCTTGTAACCCTAAAGGGCAAAGTACAGCTCTAGCTAAGGCCTTGTGGTTTGCATAGCCTTCTGGCAATCAATAGTTGCTGAAAGACCATTTTCAATTTATAAAATGACCAGTAAACTACTATCACATGTAAAAAAACCTGATTAAGGACTCATCAAAAAGAAATTAGACAATAACACTGGCATACCAGAAGTTCATCTTCTTGCACCTCAAGAATCCTTCTAGAAGCATTCAGCTGCTCATCTTTCTTTTCTACAGCTTGTCTGGCCCTACGAATATCCCTCTAACAAAAAGGTACAAAGTGCTAACTTCAAGGCCGGAACATGATTTAAGACACCCTTGAAAAAAAGACGGTTTTTAAATATCCCCACATGTAGTGTTTTAACACTTCAACACCATCTATATCCATTATCTCAGTCTATTCCAGAGTCCAGTGAAACGTTTTGATAGTGGTCATCTTGAAAATAAATGCATGACGGTATTTTTGGAGAAAAGAAAAAAAAGAGTGCTTAAATACTTGGGAACTTACCAAGTCTAAAGGTGATTCGTTAAAAGCCAGTTAAGATAATTGCTCCACAAAGTCACAAATTTTACAGACGTTTGTAAGTTGGAGGGGGGGGGGGGGGCCTTGGGTCACGAGCTTGCCCCCACCATACAAATGTCTGTAAAATTTGGTGAAGCTATTTCTTTGCTAATTTAAAGCTAATCACCTTCAAACTTGGCATCCTTACTAATTTTCAGGCGTTCTTTTTAGCTGTGATGACGGATTTTTGCTAACTGTACCCAGTCAAAAGTTGGAAAAAACATCGAAGGGTCCCTTATGTTTTCAAAGTGGCCATTATTCAGACTCTGAAACAAGAGTATGTGTATAGACTGTGCCCTCAGAGAACGAATTATAAACTAAGAGACCATGGGCAAGTCTATTTCTATCCATTGCATGCACATGCAAGTAAACGGGTAAGACCATATTGGGATTTGATGGGATGGGTAGGAAACTGGTGGAAGTGTAAAATTGGTAAGATCAAAATTAGTCATGACTGAGGACTTAAACTTTGACAAACCTCACTCTTCAGGGATCCAACTTCTGTCATCAAACTGCCAATTTTTTTCTCATAAGATCTTATCCTTCCATTTACTTCCTCTTCCTGGTAAGTTTTAGAGTATTCATACAAATAAAATAAAAATACTTTTACACTTTGATCAAGCTCTTACAAACCTTGCTCTATCAAACCTATTTCCACATACTTTTTACATTTACAGCTGTAACACTTCAACTTCTTTAATATTAAAAGTAAATAGCGTTGACAGCATGTTAGTGTTTCAAGCACCACAGTACACATGAAAGGATGAATAATTGTAGTCAGTAGATGTCAATTTCAGACTATTTTGGCATCAAAGGAGACATACAGAGAACAGTCTTTGAGTAGGTACATGCTACAATGTATAGATGAGCAACTTTTGAGTGTTTCCACGGACTTAGCCTGCAATTAGTGAATGCTTTGTAAAGGTTAGAGAATAATGTTTACAAAACTGTAATTTGACAAAGCTATTGTCCTGTTTTATTTGTTTATTATTTTGTTCAAATAAAAGGAGCGTTTATTTTTTATTTAAATAACGTGACCTGCTTCATACAGACAGCCTGTTTATAATAAGGACACTTTCTCTGGCCCCCTCAGCAGTGTCTGCATTAACAAGGTTTCAGTACAGGTACTGTATTTCTGCAAAGGTAAGTATTGAATTTACTCCTAAAAGTGTTCAATTTTTGTTGCATATAAAGGGACATTACAATGATTTTCATGACAGGTCTGTTACTTTGTACCTCAGAGGTTGAAAGATCTTCCATTCGTAAAGTTCCACCTCCAGCAGGAGGACTTATTTCCAAACGATGAGAACTACCCTAATAAATGCAAATAAAGTAAAGCTGAAATACAAAATTAAAATGCAATATATGTGCATATAATATTTAACTTTGTGCTTCAATTATCTTAATCGCAGCCGGCTCAAAAAAAAACTTGAATTCCAGCTCATCCTTTGGGCAAGCAGCTCTCGCATTTTGCTTACCCTGGGTCACTTCTTCTTTGTCTCAGTTAATGATTTTGTCAGAGTATGAATTGCCTGAACCCTTAAAGGTGGGCAAGGGAGTGGAGTTCTAAAAATCACCTGCCCAGGTTGAAATTCTACTAGTTCTGGATTACTTGATGGGGCTTTTGTTTGCGCCCTGAATCCCACAGCTGTAGACCTTGGTTCAAAGAATACATGTACATACACAGTTTCCTTTGTGTATGAGAGTAGTAATGTACGATAATGAGAAGGAAACAAGGTAACATCATTTTAATAACTCAGAAGAATAATCAGGGTTCGTACACGTTTTTGAACAAAAAATTCAAGGACTTTTCAAGAACACATTTCCCACTTTTCAAGGACTCCATTCAGTGCAAAAAAAGAACCTTGAGTCTTTACTTTTTGTTCTTGGACAACATGAGCAATTTCATCCTGAAGGCCTTTCAATCTGTGTTTGCTCCTTCTTAGTTTAGCTACCCGAGAATCTGGTTTGGATAAAGGCAGCACCGAAATTCAAGGACTTTCCAGCACTGACTGCAATTTTCAAGGACTTTCAAGGAGTGTGCAAACCCTGAATAATGTAAGGTGTCCAAAAGATTTGAACGTAAAAATGTCAAGGTTATTCAATTTAATTAAATAATAAAGAGAAAGTTGAATGCCAAAACTAAGATTTCTTTGTTGCTAGAGGACAGTGACTGTACATCATGGCACTAGTGCCATTTGCACAAATAGTAATGGTGGTGATGATGATGATGAAAGGACAACAGTAAGTCCCTACCGGTGAGGCTTGACAAAAACACATTTCCTTGACTCTATGAAACTAAAAAACTCTTATTACTGACCAAGAGGGAGGGCTTATAATTATTTACTATAATAATTACATCATTTTTATGGAAAAAAAGGTTACCAACCTCCCAAGCCAAGGGCCTCCTTGATGTTCTTCCAGGAGGGGGTACAAAAGGTGGAGAGCCTGAGGATTTCATGGCTTTCCTCTGTCCCTGAAATGTCAAGAATATCAAAAATGCCAAGTCAATTTTACAAATAAACAATTTTAATAATATCAAAATGACAATGATAAATTGTTATAATATTTATTTTTGACCTGAGACTTGCAATTGGAGCGTTTATTAACAGACTACAGTTAAACCCCCTGTAAGTGACCAATGGTGGGAATATTTAGTAGAACCTCGCCATCGACCACCGAGGTGGTCAATTCTGGTGTATGAGAATTCATTCACATTAAAATTTGACTCAATGGTTTTTACATTTGGTTTGAAAGAATATGGCCGTTCATTCCAAGGCGAGGTTCCACTGCATGAGAATTCATTCACATTAATTTACATGTACATTTTGAAAGAGATTCATTCCACGCAATTTCTAAGTTACAATATGTAAAGATCTTAGGGCTAGGGTTGGGGTTAGGGTCAGCAGAGCCCATGGCACCCAACTTTTGATCTTGGGCGACTATCTTAGTTTTTTTCAAACAAATCATATGCTGGGCACCCTGCATTTTACAGATTCAGAGCACTGGTGTCCCTTCAATTTTTCTTAGAGCACAGCATTGTTCATGTTGTATCAAAAAATGATATTCTGTAATGTTGTGGCTGTTCTTTGCATACTCTGAGTAGTGTGGTACATTCAGTGAACATAGAGATCAAACCATTTGTCAATGAGTTGCTAACAAGAGGGTAAAAACAATGGAAAATTCTAGAACTGTCATCAAAAAATGTGGTCACAGTCGCTTAATACGAGAGATTTAACATACTGTAGTGATTTGACTGGGAAAATTTGGTGTCTTGGACAGACGTTTGCTGTACTAAAATAGTAATTAGCCCAATAATGCATTGATTTGTAAAATATATTAAGATGGAAATATCCATCAGGAAATTGAATAATCATTGTTAATTGTCAGTGGACAGAAACCTTGTACCAGAATAATTTCTAGCATATTGCATTCTTTTTTACAGTTTTTGAGAGCTATAAATGTAATAAGTTTTATGAAATAACTCCAAAGAAAAGTTTCTTATAGGAGCCCAAGAAAACAAACTTCAAAAACTTCAAATTTTACAAAATGAAACCTAATATGCATGATGATTTTACCTGTGTTTTCTCAATTCCTGTGAAATTTGAAATTTATTTCCACAGGCTCGCATAAGAAATTGTCTTTGGTGTTATTATAGAAAACAAATTACCTCTATATGGCCCTTGAAAAGTGCAAAAAACAATGTGATATGGCTTTGAATATTCTGCTACACGGTTTTTGTCCACTGAAAATTAAAATTACTCAATTTTCTGATGGATTCTGTCTAAATAAATACCTCACATTAGCAGACTGCATGTTTCTATGCACAGTTTTATTCTGATATAACCAGAATGGTCCATGGAAGTATATAAAATTAACAAGCTTGTATCCAAACCACATATAACTGTACTTACGACAGATTTTGTGAAACCACTCATTCTCTTGGTCTTGAGTCGTTGCTATAAAAAGAATCATCAGCCTCACTTATTAAAGGAAGTTCCATGTTCTAAACATTTTTTAATTATTTATTGAAGGAGAACAGAAAGTAGGTTAGTCTAAGGGCATATGAAAGAGGAAGATTTGCCTTGACAAACACCACGAAGTTGGTACCATGGGGCTTTTACTGGCATTGCTTGTGGATGCCTACTTTTAATTTCTTGGCTAAAACCAATGGGAGAGACTTTATAAGGATAGGGTTTTTGCAACAAATGCAACATACAATAGCTCTTCCCCACCCCCTCCCTCCCAGGGAGGGGTACTCAACTAATATTTTGGTATAGGTGAACCGCCAAGGAAAATATATACCCTTTAAGGACAACATCCTTAATTTTATTACCCTGTTTGGGATAAAGGACAAAATGCATGCCATTTGTTTTAAAGGCTATTCACTGGCAATTGCAATAGAGCAAATTCACCTTATAGTCATTGCTTTTGTATAAAGGACAAACAAATTTCATCAGGCAAATCAAATCAATTGTGCAGGTAGTTACCCTGTTTATAATCAGGACAGACTCCCACAAAATTACATACCCTGTTAAGAACAGACTTGCACAAAATTATATGCCCTGTTTAGGAGAGAGAGGTCGAAAATCATTCCCTGTCCAGCAGCACATCCCTGTACAGGCCATAAAAGGGAGTGCCTCAGCTTTTCCCCAATTCTATTTTTTTTTCTCAAGGAGGTTAATTAATTTTCTGAGTGATTCTCCTTCTTATCAATTAATTATTTTGCAGTGCTTGAAAAATGTTGGCAAGTAGACCAATTTGTTGTACCCTTGCAAATGTCTTCACATTTTCTTAGGAATCCGAAAAAATACAGAATTTGAACACACCTCTACAGCTGTTGGAACACCAGGCTTTCCCTTTTTCTTTTTTTTAAGGTGCACATGAACAGGGGTCTCTCTGTCCACATGGACGTGGACAGGAGACTTGCGTCCCTCTGCTGTCATCATTAGTGCACAGATCTGTATGAGAAATTCACTTTAAAATGTTACTAGAAATATGTGTATCGCAGATCCCTGCAAAGCTATGAAATGTTATTAAGGTATCAAGTAAGTAGAAGAATAATTGACAATTCCATGTGGTATACAAGCGGTCACAAGGATCTTGAGAGACTGTTGAATGTCTACTTGTACACACATATCTATGTTTGTGAATAGGAATAACAAAGTTAACACTCTCTGTTAAATCCCCTTCTGTTTCCATGCACATTTATTGTGAACATTTCTCCTCAAGATCCACAACACAATTCTAGATCTACTTCTTGCACATTAGAGATTATCTTGACTTTCCCTCTTTGCTTTGTAAAGCGCTTTTGGGCAAAACTTGAATGACGAATCAGATGGTGTATGAAACAAAGCTGTTTTATTGACTACATTAGCACACTACGTTAACAACAGGCTTTCGAAACGCCTACTAAAGAAAGACAGCACATAATAAACTAATAATTTGGAACGATTAGACTTATAAAAGTCAATTATTTAAACTAACGATTCACGATCTTGCCGTAAGCTTTAATCCAAACGAACGGTGCGGTGAATGTTTCTATAAGCCTTACTAATCTTAGCATTTAAATCGACCATGATAAAAATACTTCCAACAAATACAGTTTGCTGAAAAAATATTGAATGCAACAAAAGGCGGATACAGTCCGTGTTGTCAGACAAGAAAAGAGATGGTGGAATCCCCTTGCATTTTAGTCATTTACAAGCTGACATGTGACAAAATATGTGCAATTCAACCCCCTTGTGTGTACAATTTACAAAAGACATTATCTTTAAAATTGAATTGGAATGCTCAATTCAACAGTTAGCTCCAAGGACAATGTTTCTTTTTTCTCTTGCTACGACTGAAAGTTGAAAGTTAGCGAAAACTTACCACAAATTTTTATGAAATGAACAAGGTTATTGCGTCGAGTAAAACGCTCTGTCGTGACACTCGAATTTGGCGCCGAAACATTGACTTCACCAACAAGAATGGAAGACAAAGCCACAACGCAAAAAGCGATACAAACCTTTTCTCTACAAATTCAAGTCACTCATCCTCTAAATCTATCCATAAGGACGGAAAATTCGTAGGTCTTGAGGATTAATGATCAAAACAACAGCACAAAACTCTTCTATGAACCCAAGCCGTTGCTTTGCAGTCAGACGCTAAATCTGCATCCTGATTGGACAACAAGCCTTTGAAATGTACAGCCTCGATTTCGTTAGATATTGTACTTACAGTGAAAATGGAGGGTTTTCAAAATTCAGTGCGTCCAGGGTTTTTAATTTTGAGAGTGAGAAAAATCCAAAACTTTTCCCAAAGGATAGAATGCAAAGTTTCTTGCATAGCTGTGAGCATCACAATGCTGGTGTAGCAATGACAAAGCGCGCGCGATAACCTATCGCGCGCTCCGACACGAAGCCGAATACAGTCGACTCCCGATCGACTCCCGATCAGATAACCTGAACTTCTAGGAAAATCGAAAAATGTTCGAGTCATCGGGAGTGTAATTAAATGAACGGAAGGCCCTTTCCCCGAAAACAAAAAAACTCTTGATCGCAGGCTATGATCATTTAAAAAAATAAGTTAAAAAATTATTTTCAATTTGCATAAATTGAGAATTTAATAAAACAGTTTAACTTAAGACCGATTGGGGAGCGGGACTCCTTACAACTTGTTTTTTTTTTGTGGTAATGAAAGTAAGTTAATTTGTGTATAGCCTGAGAAAACAACCGATATTTCGCGACGCCATCACTGGTTTCCCCAGGAAATGACGTCTAGGAAGATCGAAGCTAGCAGAGTCGCTTCGATCTTTCCTAGACAGGGTAATGTTACTGGTGATAATGTTAAGACACATAATTTTTCCATTCAAGATCTCTTCACACTTAATGCTGTGTCAAATACTTAAATAATACATGTCCGACTTATTTTTTAATTATGTTATCTTGTTGGTAAAGTTCACTCACAAAATAGTTAGTCGAATTAATATTTGTAATGACAACCACCAAATTTAAATTATTTTTTGGGCTTATATCTTGCATAAAGTGTGCATTTTTACTTAGAGATAGGCTGCATTAAGTAACTCAATGCCAAAGTCTCTTTCTATAAAAGTGCTCCATGAAAAAATTACCCATGCTGTAGTTTGGAGTTGAAAGGGGGTAACCTTTTCAAACTTACTTGCACAATGGCCAAGCCAACCCTAGCCCTCCAAGCCCTCCCATTAGTGGAGCATGTTCGCGGGGAGTCTGGATATGAGGAGGCGTGCTGTTGCTGTGTGTCTGCGCAGAAAACTGCACTTTTGGCGATTTGCTGCGCATCATCTTCAATATGGATTACTTTCGCTCAGTAAACATCAATAACATGGCTGATTCAATGAAGAAATTCGGTGCCCAAACGGCAACTTTCTTCTCAAGGGCGAAACAGGTTTGTTACCTTATACGCCAAGGTGTCTTAACATAGAGTCATTTTTTTTCAACGAATCTTTTATTTGTTAGTACACAGAGGAACAACTGGGGACATCAGAGAAAACTGTTTTTGATGCCAGGTTTGAGTCGCTTGTGGAGAAGGCTGATCGTACCAAATATTGGACAGAACGATTGTTACGACAAACAGAAGCCTTGCTTCAGCCGAATCCAGGTTTGTTTTGCATGACTTTTTCTTGGTTCAGGTGAAAGTCGTAACATATTTTTGCAACTGTTAAAGCGGGCAAGGCATTTTCTTTGGGACTCAATATTTCCAAGAATAAAACCTCTTCATAAGTTTTACAGGCTTAGCTTCGTGGCGTCGATAATCGTCTCATGAATATATTCATGTGATAAAAACTTTATGTGGCAGATACCACTAGGCAATTTACCGTTGTCTAAGTGATTTTAGGGAATTTCCTCCAGGGTCACTGTGTTAAAACCCTCGTGAGATTAATTGAAGTTAAATATTTTCAAGGGAAAATTTTTTAAAACCAAGGATGGTGATTCTGATATTATTTTAATAACTTCATTGGTAATTTAGAAGTGGAAATGGGCTATTATTTTAATTCCGAACAAGCATAAAATTGTGTGTGCATTTTGACGACATGCCACATTCGGATAACTTGCAGTCTAATATTCTGAGAAATAGAAAGTGAAAACCGGAAGTCGAAATTTAGCCTTCACGTCAACAAATCTAAGATCAGTTTCTTTTTTTGGTCGGGGCACGGGGGTGGGGGAGGAGGAGGGCCTTTGAAATTCAGCTCCCTGAGCTAAATTTTTTTTCATCTGTAGCAAAATGTAAAGTGATTCTAGTAATCTGGATGATGTATAAAGGTTGTGTATCAAGATCATTTGACATATTATTGCACCAAAAAAATGCAACTGAATTTTTGTCTAGCAGTTACAGTCTGAATGTTATTTACATGTAAAGCAAAAAATCAATAAAATTTGTCATTATTCTAGAATGTTTCATGTACATGTATAACATCATTAGAAAAAATATCAACATTTCAATGCAAAGATTAAACACCTTAATATAAAGAATAGGAAAAATCCATAAAAAATGAAGAGCAACAATGATTTTTAAGCAAGGCATGTTTTGATCGATCTTTGATAATTTTCAGTTGTTAATGGTAATTTAACTTTTAAAATAACAATGGTGATGGGTATCTGAGTTGTCAATGGCATTTAAGAACTTATGAGTAAAATTTATTAGTAAGCGCAAAATATCAATATTCTGCATACAAGGGAAAACATTATTCAAAGAAAATCTAGTAAACCTACTCTGTTTACAATGTAAATGTTAAAATCTGTCCAAATGTTTAATTTGCATAAAAAGTATTTAAAACATTAAGGTTATTTGGTTCTCTTTTTGTGTTTTTGTGGAAAGCTTGATGTTGCACACTCACTAATACAACATGTAACATTAATATAAAAAGTTTAATAATTACGAGTTAACTTCAGGTCAATTCACATATCACCGTTTAATGCAATAATATTTCAAACCTCTGAAGATGATCAAAAATCAATCAAAACATGTTTTGCTAAAAAATCAAAGTTGTTGTTTACTATTATCAGATTCTTGATTCTTCTGCTATTATGAAAACCATTTAATATTAATTTTAATTTGTATAATGTGCAATTACTGTATCAATATAAAAATTTTCAATCGTGCATAAAAAATTTATAAATTTATTTTGAAATTTATAATTGGCAAGCTATCAAAAAGTGTTTTTGACCATTTAGAGTAAGAAAGGTTGTGTTTGACTTATGAAAAACAAAATTTCAGTGTTAAATCATCTACATGTATTGTGGTCTTGTATTGTGAACGAAAATGTGTGAGATTAGATATGACTTAACAAAGATGCTATGATCAGGTTGATAAACATCAAGTAAGGCTCTGTGCCTCCCAATGATTTTGACAATTAAAAGATCAAAACTCAAAAGTTTTGCTTCTATTAAAGTGAAAGGATTTTGATCCCACTTCAAAGTGGATCAATACAGTGCTTTGCCTCAGTTGTAGCGGTCTTGTTTCCAGGTAGATAAAAGTTATCAGGGAAAAATGACATGAATGAAACAATTTATATTAGATATTTTTTTAACCAATTTTAACAGGACTGTTTGAATCTGTTCCAGCAAAATTGTGACTCTGGTTCTTTTTGCCTGAAGCCCTTTACTGTCTGTTTGTTTCATTATTTATTGTTTGTTTATTTTCGGTTGTGGTTTCTTCAACCAGTCAGATTGTGGTGGAATATTTTGATATAAATTATAAATATTGATGAATTATAAAGTAACCTGAATTGCCAAATTTTCTCTGCCTTGTAGATCTCATTGAAATTTTGTATTCACATATGCTGAATCTAATGCAAATGAGTGAGAACAGTAGATTTTCCTTGTAGGCATTAAATTATCTGGTACATGTGAAATGTGTGGTTTGAAGCAGGCCTAGAAATAAAGATTCTTTATTTTTTGCTGGTGCTTGCTAAGGCTTTGTATTAATTTTGAATTAATTTATCAAATCCTCATATTATTTAAACTAGCTCTCATACTCAAATTCTGCTCACGTGAAATCTCTCAGAAAATCAATCATGATTGTATAAAGTAATTGAATGGAAACCTGTGAAAAGATACTTTTTTGTCTTCTCATGTTGAGAATACCTTACATACAGTGTATACAATTCCCTTTACTCACATTTTTATAATCACATTGTCAATGCTCAAAGAAAAATTCTGTCTATGTGCAGGGTGCAAAGAAAGTCAGTTTTACAGCCTGCCATTCGGGCAAACTGTAGCTAGCATGTACTAGCCACAAGTCATTTCAACTAGCCCAAACCCTTTTTGATTAGCAGGATTGATTACAATCCTTCTGTAATTTGAATTTCCCCAAAACAACGGCGCTTGCCCATCTGCAAGTTAAGAACAAAAATCACTAGCCCCACAGGCTATCGGACATGACTTTCTTTGCACGCTGTCTGTGTGTGGTCATGTTGTATATTTCGCTGTGTCTATTTATAATGTAGGCATGAGAGCTGAAGAATTTGTATATGAGAAGTTGGACAAACCAAAACCCCCTCGACTGACAGAGAGTGAAACACTTGGCCAATCCATGATTGAGGCTGGGAATGACTTTGGTCCTGGAACCAATTATGGTGAGATATATAGATTACAATGTAACACACTTTTCAAAATACCTCTAACAGTACAGCTGTAATAAATTGAGCCCATTTACATGTACTTAGACTTTCTGAAAGTCCTTCGGTTGTGGTAGTTGGGTTTTATCCAATCATGAACGGTTTTACTGATGGACCGTCAATCAAACCCAATCACACCACATTAAACGTGACTTGAACTGTTTTGATCCAGAGTCAATTGAACTGTGTATTTTTTGTGAGCAGTATTTCGATTTCATTTTATTGCCTGTATTCAAATACAAAGCTTTAGGTGGGTGTTTTATCTTCCTCCATTTGAGTACTTTACCAAGGCTGGATTTTCCTGGCAGCGATGGAGCAGAAAAAAAGATTACCAACATTTTGTTTTGAGTGCGCACACTACAAAGTTTTTTTTTTATGTTTTCTTTCATGGTGCATGCAAACCTTGCAACAATTCTGTATTTACTTGAACTCGACTGAATAATAATGAAGGGCCAGGCCCAAAAACATCTGGAGATTAAACTCACAAATATCACAAGAAGGCACTTTTGTTCATTACCCTATTTTTTTATTGACCATTCCTTTAATACTTTATTTACGTTCTCTTATCGGAATTTTGTTTCCGTTTTAACATACTTTGACAGCTCGTGATGACATGTGACAGGAACGCAAATAGTTCGCACCAAAATTACGTCACTTGATCTGATTTTTGCAGTGGAAACAAGTCAAGCTCTCACTCTCTCGCTCGCTTTTGCAGCAGAAAACATAAAAAATCTGCCACTGGCGTTTCACGCTCGTGAAAAAATTTGAGCTCAACTTGTAGTCAAGTCTGACGTATTGTTATGATTATGAGCTACGGCATATGGTAAACATTATTAATGTAATTTGGGTATGTGTACTTGTATTTCCAGTGGTATACATATGTACTTTGTGAACCTTATGTAATTTTCTATGTCTGCCATATTACTGTTCACACCTAGAAATAGTGTTTGTCTGGGCTTCAATATTGAGAAGCAGTTCCATACATTCCAACTATCAGTATTTATTTTTTTTTTTTTACACCTTAGGAAGTGCATTAGTAAAGTGTGGCGAAGCAGAAAAGAAGATTGGTCAAGCGGGAAGAGAGTTAAAAGACAAGTCCATGACAAACTTTCTTCACCAGCTAAAGACATTTTTGGAAGGAGATATGAAAACAATTGCTGTAAGCCCATTGACATTCTACATTTGTACAGTAGTGTAATTTTATAATGACTACACTAATACGTTAATTCTGTAGTGTTACTACTGAAATTCTACCCTTACCTTTAGAGAAAGTCTTTTAAACATAAAAGGTGAGGTCATACATAATTATGTGTCATCATCATCATCATCATCATCATCATCATCATCATCATTCATCCACTCAAACTCAGTATTTTATAATGGGGCCCTAATACCTTATATTCTGTAGTGTGGCTACTGAAATTCTATTCCCATTTTTGATATTTTAGAAAGTCTTTTAAACATAAAAGGTTAGGTCATAAATAATTATGTGTCATCATCATCATCATCATCATTCCCTCATTGGGACTTGTCCACTCAAACTCAGGATTTTGTGAGATGGGCCCTAAATCTGATAAATAACCAAAATGGGAATCGGTTATTTTTTCCTGTGTACTGCACTGTATGTACTTTTTTTCAGCCTGGCAAAATGGCTGTACATTTTCCTTTAAAAAACCCTTGTTAATGCAGTCATCTATTAATAAAAGCCATCGGCCACATTACCAAACAGTAGAATCTTTTATAAAGAGAACAGTTGTTCAAGAATTACCAGTCCATTGTATGGTGTATTTGTGATTACCACCCTTAAGCAATGAAATTTGATCCTGCCCAGCTGTAATACGGCCACCCTTTTGATACAGCCAATTTTTTTTTTTTGACCATTGGTGATCATATTATTGGGTTTCCACTGTACACGTATATGCATGGTCATAGCATGTTTTCATATACTGTATTAAATTGAAGATGGCTTATTACATGTAGTTTTATGATCTGTGTTTAGAGAGAACGAAGGACGCTGTTGGCAAAACGATTAGACTTGGATGCATGTAAAACCAAAGTACGAAAGGCTCAGAGCCCGGAAAAGATACAACAGGTAAAAACGGTGTATTTAGACAGCAGGCAGTCTCTCTTTTGCTCGAAAATCTGTTTGCGAGAGTATTTGAGTATTTGAGTTGTGAGGGCGTGAGTTGAGAAGGTGCAAATACTTCGCTTGTATTTGCACTTTCTCAACTCATGTTGTCGCAACTCGCACGACTTCGCTGTTTGAATACTATCGCTTACAGATTTTTGAGCAAAAGAGAGACTACTCGCAGTCTATGGTGTATTGTATATCGCCCTAACTACAAGAAGATGACCAAAATTAGTGTCACCTTTGAGACTAAATGAGCATCAACACATATTGGACACTGTCATTTTCATTACATATAATTCCCAATAGTTTAGTCCTAAACATTATTGTTTTTCTTTTAAAGATAAACATTACACAAGCATTCATAACATGATGAGTTCTTAATATCTGAACAGGTCACATTCAAATGCTTGACAAAAGGTCTCTTTCTTCCTGATGACAAAGCGGAAAAGGTGACATTTTGTAACTGTTGTTCTTTCACTTGGCACCTGTGGGGTGGCTCTTTCCACCTTAAACTTGTTTTGCTTTAATTTGCTTTCTTGCAAGTTTTTCACTTGTTATGAGCAACTGTGGTTTACATTTAGATTGCTTAATGTGATATTTTTTAATAACATACCTGACCAATGCATTTATTTATGTGAGTAAAGTGAAATGAAATGAAGCTGTCAAATGACCCTTATCTTTCCTTTTTTGATGCAAAACAATATTATTATGAAAACAAGCATGTGACACCTAGTTAAATCTAGTTGATTTAAGACAAAGCTAAAATAATGCATTATTATAATATTTTCTTAAGTTTTCATTTTTAAGTTTTTTATAGATTTTTTTTCACAGTGACGTTTTGTGAAAATAGTTTTTATGAATTGGTTTTTACACTCAAGATAAACAAAAAGTTAAATTTTTTTCAGTCCCATCAAGTTCATTTCCAGATTTTTGAACAATGAGAAAAAATGTTTTGCTGTATTGACTTTCATGATATACTGGTATCATATCAAAATAATTTAAATTCTTTGTTTTTTTTTTATTAAATGCTGGAAGAAAGATTTTAATGGTTACTTTTGAAGTTAAGACATTGCCTCAGATAATACTTTAACTGGCTGACAACTCAAACCACAATACAGCTCTAAACATATTAAATATAATGATATTTATCCAACCTTATTTCTTGCACTTATTGCTGCTTTGCTGACCAACAGTAACATTCATTTAACTTGTTAAAGCTTATGCAATGTCTTTTAAAGTGAGTTCTTTCCTTCAAAACTGTCTTTATATTCCTGTATAAATCCTCTAAACTGTAGATGTATTCTTCACGGAACTTGGTTGTAATCACTGAGTTGGATAAGGTGAGTATTCTTGAAGTAAGATCCTTTGCCTTCTATTCTTCAGTGCTGTCAATGCTCTTTTTCTTATTTCAGCTCTTTCCTCATGCTTAATCAAACATCTCTTGACTGGTGTGTCAGTAATTCTAAAATCCTCATAGGCTCCCGTGTGTAATTTGATACCCAGAAGGATCAAGTAGAAAAGCGAATGATCCTTGTAAGAGCCCAGTAGCAGTTTAATAAGAGATGGGTGACCTCTTGTCTTCCCTCACATTTAATTCAGTAAGGAAGAAAAAAGTTCCGTGTTGAATGACTGTAACTGTTTTCTTGTTTAAAATGGTACATGTATTCACAGGTACTAAAATTTTAATGTAAACAACTGTACATTGGACTAGGACTACAGTGTCAGAAAGGGGGGTCCTGCATGTAGTAACTACATATATTCAAAGACAAGACAGCAACATTGTTGGCCTGCGTAGCTGGCAGGATTCTTGTGGGTACTTTAACAGCACTCCCACACTAAACCCGCCAGCTATTGTGGGCTACAACATTGTTTATGGGTTCATTTAATACACAATGAAAAGGTAGTCAACTTAGAAACTTACTGTTACATGTCGGTTCTGTTCACACACAAACAATCATGTTGTACAGTGCTTGCAGTGGGGAATTTTCTAATCTTCATGTATCATTTTGTTATTTTCCTAGGCTGAAGCAGATTTGCGAGTGTGTCAAGCAGAGTTTGACAGGCAATATGAAGTTACAAAACTTCTGTTGGACGGAATTAGCACCGCACATGTGAGTACTGTAGGCATTTTTCATTGGAACGTATAATTATTTCCTATAATGCTAGTGTGGCTAAATAATAATGTACTCTTAACTTGTCGACACCTCAACCATTAATCGTCATGTACAAGGAAAGAGTTAAGAAGAAAGTACATAGAGCATGAACTCCTTGTACAAGCAAAGGTAACCTGAGGTCAGCCTCTAGTTTCTTCTTGCTTGATAGATATAATTCCACCAGTCCAATTTTAGTGTGACAACATAATGGAGAGAATTCATGAGAATTCATGAAATCTGGCCTGATATCAGGGTTTGTAATACACTGTTAGTGAAGCTCCATGTGCGCAAGCCGAGCCACATAGCTAAGAAAATTTGGTTGTCTGTTCATCTGAGAAATTTTGGTCATATTAGGTGACCATAGGTCCTTCCTTCGGACTGTCTGTCTGTCCACCCATCTGTTCCCAACACAGGGACCCCAATATAGCTACTGTAGCTAGTGAGGCAGCCTGCAACCTCATTTTGCACATCCATGTTGTGGTCAATTGACAGCTGTCAAAACAGCTGACTGGTATCGCATGACCATATCGCAGGCTTAGGTGTTGACCCATCGAGGTTCAAGTTTTTTTTTAGGTGCTCCACTGAAAAGTAAATTTTTCAACTCATCCCAGGTTCAACTCCAAGTGGGTTCTTTGCGATGGTAAAAAGTTTATTGTTTAAAGTAAATTATAAATTCATGAACAGGAGCTTTACTTTTAGCCTTGGGTTAATCAAAATATTACATTGTGCTGAAAAGGCTTCTCAGGGAACAAGTGAACAAGTTAATGATTGCTGTATGATTGTTTTGTTTTCAGGCCAATCACCACCGTGCTCTTATGAACTTTGTGGAAGCTCAGGCACAGTATTATGCCCAGTGCCATTCATACATGACAGAGCTACAAAAACAACTTGCAAGGTACCCATCCAGTTAGCTAAATCCAAAAGTTTGGCTTCAGTTTGTGAGTTATATTGTATATAAATGCCATTCCCTTGTTTTACCAACAGTGCGTTCAAAAGGTTTTAAACGTGAGATAAAAGCTTGCTGTTTCTCATATTTGTGTTCCTTCCTCTCTTGCTGTCTTAATTTCTGAATTATTTCCACCTTTGTTCATCGGTTAAATTTTTGCTTTTGGTAAACACTCTCTGTTTCATTATCAAGAATGAGGCTTCAAGGACATAGTAATTCTCTCTATGTAATCAGGACTGTCAATGTTCAGTGCTTGAAGTAACCCATGATATGGAAGATGTAACCAGGGAAAGTGGTTGCTGGTGTAACTGGTGTTTAGTTTTTGTCTACCAGCGTAGGCCGTGATCAATTTAAGCAATCGACAACAATTTCCTTAGTGTACACTGACGTCCAAATTTTCAAATTTCAAGCGGAACCTCAACTATGAGCCACAGCTGAAATGTTAGACAGCAAAGTTTTGAACATTTTGACGTCATTTGTACGGTCGACCAGAGTATAGACGATGTAGCCTGAGTATCAGGCCTTTCCATCTTTCCCCTTTTCCCCAGAAACGCCTGATACTCAAGCTATAGACGATGGAAAATTGTTGTCGTTTTGTCTTTTCAAAAACGAATTAAGTCAATTTCCGTTGGACTAGTTTCTCGGAAAATCGCGCGAGAGAGATAAAGAAAACAAATTGCGCCACCATCATATAATTTCCATGGTTTGTATTCTTTTCTACCATAGCTCTCGACCAAAGAGCGTGCAAGAAATTGCTCAGTTATTATAAACTACCCCATGTAGAAAACGTAGCAGCTGTCTAGATAAAGCTTTAGAAACTGGCCAGGGATACATACTTGTATGTTAACATTCGTTGGACCGTTTCTGCACCGTTCTGGTCTTTAACATAGAACAAGGTCTG